TATAGAATTCATCCTCATGAAACACTCACTCTTAGCTACCTCATGACCTCAGGAAGAGATGACTGGCTTCTGAGAAAAAGACACCGACGATATCCTGAAAACATTCTGTTCTGATGGTACAATATGATAACAGGGTAATGTACCGGGCCTTACTGTAAAGGTTTTATTTAGAACGTCCTCAGACAGGCATGTACAGTACTTTATTTTAGATCCTACAGTGAAAGAAAAACGTACATTCATTAAAGATACCTTGGATCAAAACTGGTAAAGGGAGGAGAAACACTGAAGGCAGTAAAACAAAGAGTGAAAGCTGGATGGAACGAGTGGAGAGAAATAACTGGAATAATCTGTGACAGGAAAATTCCTAGAAAGTTAAAGTGCAAAATGTACAAGACTGTGATTAGACCTGTACTACTATATGGAGCTGAATGCTTGGCAGTTGGAAAGAGGGAAGAGAACTTAACGAGAAGAACTGAAATGAGGATGTTGAGATGGATTCTGCAGATTTCAATGAAGGATAAGATCAGAAATGAAGAAATCCGTAGACGATGTAGGGTGGCTGATGTGGTTGAGAAGATGCGAGAGGCGAGGTTACGGTGGTATGGACATATCATGAGGAGGGACGTTGAGGAAGTAACAAAGAGGGTAATGGAATTTGAGGTGGAAGGTAACAGAGGAAGAGGCAGGCCTAGAAAGAGATGGATAGATTGTGTGAGAAAAGATATGGAGGTATGTGAAGTGAGTGAGGAAGATGTGCTCGACAGAGACAAATGGAGAAGAACAACCAAAGCAGCTGACCCCAGGACAGTCTGGGACTAAGGCTGTGAAAAAGAAGAAGAAGATTAAAGATTTTAGAAAAGAAACTGGGAAATTAATTGAGAATAAGTCCCCTGCCAAAACGCCTTCCATTCTATAGACAATATACAACTGTATACAATACGTACAATCCCAAAAGAAAGAAGGAAGAATACTCTCCATAAAAGATGTACAACACTCAGGAGAAGCAAAGCGTACTAACCGATCAATTATATATCAGGCAGCCACTGCATGGTCACTACATGTCAAGAGCTCATGAGCTCAGATCCTCGAGATGCCTTTCCAAGAGATTAAGTCTTAAAGCCCTGAACAACCTGGGAACAAAGAGGAAATAAGACAAGCCTTAGGGGAACTCTGTGGCCACAAATGTAACAGATCAAGGCCTGAGATGAAGCAGCAGACAGCTTCCCAAACCTTTTCCTCCAGGAAGGAAGGTTTAGAGCTATTTTCTCGGACTAACCCATGAATCAAGCCCCTCGCCAGCCATGCAAGAGTTCTGCTCTTCCAAAACCTGCTCTTATCTCTTATCAGGACGTACAGTCCCTGACAAAGTAAACCCACACCGCTCTGAATTTTCAGCACTGCTGAATAGCTGAGCCAGGTTAAGAAACTGCTGACTGAATGAAGATCTGCGCCACAGCTCTATCAAACCAGACGACAAGGTGCTAGAAAACATTGAGGTTTTGTTTAAAGTCTACCTGATGTTCGGCTTACAAAAAGTTACAACAGTGGTCACAAACCACACAGAAGAAAAGGTCTGAGCAGATATCTTTTGTTCTTATTTCGCAAAGGTTATGCCCTGATTGGCCAGTTTCGCAACAGCACACAACAAACTGGTATGCATGTACAACATACACTGCACGTCAACATCATCAATGGAAACACCGGCCACAGCGCCCACAAAACAAAAGGACGTCTAGGGGTTTTCCACTGAATGAGAAGGACTGTTACCGTGTGGACGAATAATACTGGTAACCAATGCAGGGACTGGAGGTCACAACAGCACTGCCCCACCCAGGACCTGAATCTACAACCTTCCACTTTCGCTGGATCCCGAGGTCCACAGAGCTGTCTTGCAGGGAAGGACAGTAAGACCCACTGTCCAGCAGATTTCCCGGCTCTCTCTGGCGATCGTTGCCCGATCCCTGCCCGCCCTCTTACTTCAACCAGATTGTAACACCAGGAGCAGGAAGAAACTGGGAGTTTAACTCCAGCTTCCAGAGGACACGGGGACGTTGCTGGGGATGGAGTAGCAGATGGGGAAACGGGCGCTCTTCACTCCTCCGAGAGGTACAAATCAGACCGCAGCTTGCTCTGAAACCGTTCCTTCTGGTGCCGAACGACAACAGCCGTGTGTAACCCTCCAACGCGCCTCGAGCGCTCCCTTCCTGCCTGCTGGCCCGATCGATCCCGGGAGCAGCAGGGTGGGAGTTACGGGCTGTGGCGCTCAGAATCAGGTGAGAAAAGACCAGGCAGGTAAAAGCTCATTCGCCCTTCAGCCGCAACGTGGGGCTGAAGGAAGGAAAAGGCGGCGAATTGTGAGGTAACATTCAGAGAGCCGTTTTACCACTCTGCCATCCGGATTATTAGACGTTTCTAGATGGTCGACAAAAACGCCACAACGTTTTGTTTTGATGATGATGATGATGATTTGGACTTGTGCTTGGTCTAGATGTTGAAAGACCAAGGGTATTCAGATCCTGTGATCCGGATCTCTTTGAAGCCGACAAGGTGAACAACACACCATCAAAATCAGCCCACGTCCACTCATGACAAGATATTTACACCCTGAACCAGCTGCCCAGTAGCTGGATGGGAGACCTGGGGAAACTGAGGTTGTGGCTGGAAGGGATGTTAGTGGGGCCAGCAGGGGGTGCTCACCCTGCAGTCTGTGTGGGTCCTAATGCCCCAGTATAGTGACGGGGACTATACAGTAAAAAAGGCTCTGCACTTTGGATGAGACATAAATCCGAGGTCCTGACTCTCTGTGGTCCTTACAAATCCCAGGAAAGAGTAGGGGTGTTACTCCGGTGTCCTGGCCAAATTCCCCCCTGGCCTTTACCAACCAAGGCCTGCTAATAATCCCCATCTGTGAACTGGCTTCATCACTCCGCTCTCCTCCCCAATGAGAGCTGGTGCGCAGTGAGCACTCTGGTGGTGGTGGTGGTGGTGGTGGTGGTGGAGTCCCCAGTATTATTGTCATCATTATTAATAATAACATCGGAAGAGAGCTGTCCGAGCTGTTACTCGCTGTACTGTGCTCATGAGAACATGGTCGATGCTCCCATGTTCCTGGACAGACACCTGTTCCGTGGTGAGGGATGGAGATGACCTCCCAGGCATATGTCCGCTGCACTGGCAGACAGAGAGCAAGCGCACGTCGGAATGAGAGTGGACTCCCGTCGTTGTTCTTTTTTAAACCGGCACAAGATCAGCACAAGAACCGGGACACAAACGTGGTGAGTGAATGTGACCCAACGACGGCCTGCGAGCGCACACCGATCCGAACAGAGGATGTGGCATAGCAAGGGTCACAGTGGTTTCATGTCTCCGGACTCTGCGCTTGCAGGCAACACTCAACAACTTGGATCAGGCCGGGACTGGTATTTAAAACACAGGATAACCACAAACACACACCTCCCAGGCCACAATGACCCAGAGGTGAACCCCCTCCCCCGACTCTGCCTACAGCTCTTAATTAGAAAAGAGATTCGCTCCAAAATGGGGTAATTAGGCGCTTCAGGGTCAGGACAGAGGCTCTAAAAAAGAAAATTCCCCACAGACTGACAACCGGCGGCATCATTCAGACATTTTTCAAACGCCTTTTTAATGCCGAGCATCTACCACAAGGCTTGAAGGCCAGCGGAGAAAGGGTATCTGTATCTCTCAAACGAAAGAGCATGTCTTTCTTGAGACAGTTCCACAGCCGTTTAAAAGCACAACCCCAGAACTGCAGCAGCTGAGGCTTGCGATACCACACGACCCGGAGTGAAGTTTACACGTCATGAGCTGTGACGCAAGGCAGATGAAATCACATTCTTCATATAAATAAGTAATCAAATCAGTGATATCTTGACTTCTCCCCCCAACTGAGAATAAGAGACGCCATTACATTTTAAAGAGATCAAGCGGTTTCACATAAAACGCCACACAATGGTTCTTTAAACTACAGATTAAGAGTTAAAACAAGACACCTAATATAAAACGACAGTGCCCATCCCTAATGACATAATACAACTCCAACATAATTACAATTATTTACTTACTCCTAGCCCAAAACCTCTAAACAGTCCCCGAACTGCCGACGTAAATAAAATGAAGAGCACAGATACACAAAATATACAATATACATCTTCTGTTTCCTGTGCAATCGGTATAATAAACGCAGCTAGGGGATTGTTTCCTGTATGAAGCTAGCAGATTAATGTAATGATAGTGTAATGAGCGAGGTGTGTATTATTGCACGGCTATCGTTTGTTTTTAAATAGCATTTTCATTCTGTGCTGGGTACTTGTTTTGTGGTGATGCCAGACACACAAATCCCCACGCTTTAGGATGAAGAACAAAGTTATTCAAAGTTGAATTGCAGATAAAACCACACGCTATTGTATCTATGCATCATTTTATTTGACAAAAACGTGATCAAACTTGACTTTATGGCTGTCGGTAAGATGCAATATTTCCCAAAGCGACGAGTTTTGCTTGCAAGTTCTACAATGCAGGGCGCTACGTGGCCGGTGCGGTTACGGAGCAAAACAGGAAGGTACGCCACTCGGGTGTCAAAATGTTTTGTGAGCAAAACGAGCAGCAGACGCTTTCGTTTTAAGCGTGAACCCCAGCAGTTCTCGGCTTCTCTCCGTTCGCCCCGTGTTGGGTCTATCACGGGCAACCTCGGGCGAGTGCGCGGCGCCGGCCCAGACTCCAAAAGACAACACAAAAATAAACCCACTTCGCGCAGGCACAACGCAAGGGTGCCAAAACGCAACACCGTTTTGGGTAACAAAGGGACAAAAGACGGCGCCGCGGCGTGCAGGCTGACCGCGGAATACGCTTATTGAGTGAGTGAGGGAGGGAGGGGTGGGGTAATAAAACTCCCCAGGAAGATGATAACGCACCACCGAAAAATAATCGGGCACCAGCCCCCAGCCTGCAGCAGGCGCGCGGCCCGCGCTCGCGCCCCTCACCTGTACGCCAGAGTCATGCACTCGAACAGCTTGGTGAGCGACGCGTCGATGGAGAGGTGCGACGTGCTGGTCTTGCCGAAGCAGTACGTCTGGCAGGTCTGCTTGTTGACCGTGTCGAAGTCGTAGCCCTTCTTCGGGGGGTGCTCGCTGTGCGGGGAGGACACCATGAAGTGGCCGCTGTGGATGATCTGCGGCTCCTGCCCGTCCGGCTTCTTCGGCCCCAGGTTCGGCTCCTCGGCGTCCGAGTCGTCGTCCTGCTCCTGTTTGACAATCACGGGGGCTTGGCGGCGCGGCCGTAGCTCCTTGGTGGCCATTGCTGCCGTTATTGCTTTTTTTTTTATTATTTGTTGTTTCGCTAACTACAAAAATACAAGCTCCATTTAAAAAAAAAAAACTATTCTGCGCTTCGGTGGGAAGGGGAACTCCTCGCAACAGTCATTTTCGCAGTCGCTGCTCCCCTTTCTCCCAGCCCTGCGCGCAGGCAGGCCAGCCTGTGGCTGAACCCAGACGGCGACGTCATGGCCAGGACACGTAGGCGATTGGCTGAAATCTCAGCAACGCCCACAGTCTGACTTCATAAAACTGTGCATGCAGGCGAAACTACGGGGGGGGGACGTCTGTAACAATACGGTTTCTGTGCATTTTATTGAAAGAGGCCATAGGGAATACGTAGAAATGCGCATTTGTGTTGCATGCCCATATGTAGAAAGAGTTTCTTTTATTCTGTATGATGTCTTTAACAATATTCCTGTGCGGATACGAAAGAAAACAATGGTGGTTTTGCATCACTAGTTGTTGCTCAACTAGTTCCCCAAAGTGCAATGAGTAGGGAAAGCTCGCAGCAATCTGTAACGCAGTTATTATCGACATCTGATATCCACAGAGTGAAGGAAAGCAACGAGAAAACTGAAGTAGCTGGGATCAAGAACAGCGTTTTTTATTTTACAGTAAGCCATGATTGGTCATGACGTGGTGCATAGTGTCAGTAAAGTTAAGACCCGAGTGTTTAACGTGATTAACGGGGGAACAAGAAAAGCAAAATGCATTCTCAGAAACCCCCTTCAACCTTTTCCCCTCTCGTGATGGAACAGGTTAAAGCCGTTCGGATACGATTCTCATTTCCAACGTAGTCAATGTGCTCTGTATCAGAATGTCAGCTGGGCACTGGGCACTACTCCTGGAAAAGCAGGAAAAGCAGATCGTTTGGCAGAAAGTGCCCTCTCAGGTTCTCCTTATCTGCAGTGTAAAATTGCACCACGCCTGGTTTCGACCTGGCCTGACATACTGTAGTCCCCCCGCCAAAGATAAGACACGACCTCCACTCGGCGCTGTAGTCGAGATGTACACGGTCTCGCGTGTGTGAATATACAGTATATATTACACAGCCACACATTTTCGAGCCCCTTTTTCCAATTCAGCGAGTAACGGGCACAAGGCAGGAGGTGGCAGACTGCAGAGGACACCAGTCAAGGCACAGGCACAGACACCCACACCAGGGCCCATTCTCCCCGAAGCCAATTAACCCACCAGTGTGTCTTAGTACTGTGAGAGGAAGCCAGAGCACCTGGAGGACCCCAGCAAACACAAGGGAGAACATACAAACTCCACACGCACAGCACCCCAAGTCTGGAATTGAACACAGAGCCCCAGCGCTGTGAGGCACCCATGCTAGGGACTGCACCGCTGAGCTGCCCATGAGTATAGAGCTGAATTATTGCAGGTGTAACACATTTCATACAGGGACTCATCCAGCGGTTTATTGAAGGAAACCGGGGTATCAGCTTCAACAACATGGCTGGGCTACCTGATACTCCAGCAGCCCACTGAATTTCATGTCAGATGAGTGGGGGAAAAAAATAAATAAAACCCATATACGAGTTTCTACTTGCATTTGTGAAGCCTGCTGGTCGTGCTGTCATGTCAGCACACAGCTTGGCTGTTGTTCTGATCCACAGGACGTCTGCAGTGCTGGGAAGGGCTGTCCCACAGCGACAAGCCTGCATCCACTGCACCTCACTGAGAGAGAGGGGAGTGCAAGAGTCCTGCACTGCAGTGGACCCCACAGATCGAGCACCTTTCAAGCCTAACGATGCCGACGCTCCTAAGAAAGCACAAAACACCGATCAGTATCCACAGGGAAAGGGCCACAACAGACACTTTTACTGAGCTTTAGTCTCGGCTCGTTTCGTTCACGGGGACAAAGATATGAGGCAATACCACTGCGAACACATGGACAGGAGATGTAGAATCACACCAAAGCACTGTAACGCTTTTTACCGATTTGAAAAGTCAACACTGGGGAAAAAAATGTTAACACAATGAAACAAGTGTAAATAGTACATATACTGTATATATAACAGATGTGTGAGGTTTCAAATATGTCCTCTTGTTAATTTCACAAATTGTTTTCCTATATGTCTGTTTTTGTTTCAAAGATGATAAAAAAATCCCTTACATTTGTTATTTTTTTGGCTGTCTTTGTTATAATAATAATTTATAATAATTGCTTACCACTATATAGCACTTTTCTGGACACTCCACTCAAAGCACTTTACAGGTAATTGGGACTCCTCTCCACCACTACCAATGTGCAGCCCCACCTAGATGATGTGACGGCAGCCATAGTGCGCCAGAATGCTCACCACACATCAGCTATCAGTGAGGAGGAGAGCAGAGTAATGAAGCCAATTCATAGAGTTCATAGTGTTCTAAGGATAATTTTAATAAACACCTTCGGCATAATCAGTTGAACCACTCGTAGCACATCTGTTGATCGTTCCTCTAATGAATTATACGTGCCAAAAACAAGCTGTTTTGTGTCTTTTTTATTAATAAAACAAATCCATTGTACATGAAAAAAACAACTACTGAATGGAATAAATAAGTCAAACCCACACACAATTATATTGAAGGCAAAAAGAAAATGGTCCCAAAAATTATATTGTTTTACAACTTGCTATGGATCTAATTGAAAAGGTAAACAATTGAAGGTGATAGCCAAACTTGAAATGAAGAAGGTATCTCAACAAGTTCATCTCTGAAATTAAAATTCCTACACAACTGTATTTCAAGCAGAAATAACCGTTTGATTTCTAGTTAATACATTATATAATCTAAGTGCCAGCACTTCTGGACTGTGACTGAGGTATTTGCAGAACCATCTCACCAGATCCACATTTTTAATTAAAATTAGCATATTGATCAAATGCAATAACTTGCTGCTTTTGTGTTTTTTTTTTTAAGAAAAGCCTTAATCCAGTTTTTCATCCTACGACTCCAGCACAAAAAAATCCCTGATTCCAGGCTGCCTTCTATCAGACATTTCATTTGATGGCTCTAAACTTGCATCACAGTCCAGTTGTTTGTTTTCTTATATATAATTTGTAAAGACAACAGAAGCTGTAGCCGTCAGCGTTAACTAAGCACCGTGGGGACTTTACAGAAATACCTGAAGCACACGGAAGGACAGGAGGATTTGCACTGAACTTTAAAGTGTGTGCCAAGCAGCCTGAGCTTCTGCAGGCTAACCTCTGGAAACTCAAGAGGAAGCAACATCAGAATGACAAGAAACCAGGCAACGTATTTCACATCAATCGGAGCCAACTGGTTCAAATGCATCGAGAGTTTTTAATACATGGTCAAAAATGTAGTGCTGTCTAGTCCTTGGTAGTATATAATGCCTTGCAATTTCATTTTCCTACAGAGAAAAAAATAAAGCAATTTACAAAGTCCTGCATTTGCGTTGTCTTTGACGGGGGCCGAACGCTTACTTTCCCAGCAAAGACACGAAAGCTGTGCAGTGCCGAGCACTGTCCCAGATGTCACAGAGGTCCCAGTCAACAACCCAGTCAACTCAGGAGAGACAGGTGTGCAGATTTTCAGCATGCTGCTCTGAGGTTACCCTTTTACAACACCCAAAAGGGTCAGATATCAACCATTTAACACAGTATATTCTGACAGTGTCTACAATGCTGCTCATGTTATTGTTAAACGATTCACTTATATACCATTTTGTTTTACTCTAAACCATAAGGTACAAGTGGAATGTTCCCTATGAAATGTGAATAAGTCCAAAAAGAATGATCAGGAATCCAAATATACATATTTAAACGAAACAAATAAAAAAAAACTAACAGCTCAAGTAAATAACCAGTACTGTGATTAGAAAGCATAGAGCTTTAATATTGTTTTAAAAATAAAACTTCTTCTGTGAAGTAATGTGACTATGTGCCTGTCAGAGCAGGATCTCAGGACATACTATCTGGTGCTACCTTGGAGTATGGTTACAATTATATACAAGAGAGAAAGAGTCCACTGACCTATGTTTGTTGCCCTTTGAAGGTAAATTAAATCTAAATGTCATGCTCTGTACTTGACACACTGTTTCAGGCAGGAATGCTCAATGTTAACAGCAATAGTTCATGTAGAGAAAACGATGTTTTCTTGCCCTGCTGTTGCAATTAACCCACATTAAAACATGTAAATGACCTGACACATCCATCCTCAATTACCATCACAGTTTGGAAATGGCCCAATCGAGAATTGTTTCGGCACTTCTGTTCAGGCATACTTGCTGCAATGGGTAAAAGTTAAAAACCTCATTAAAAAATAGGGCACTTATAAAAACAAAGTGTGGAAGATAAAACAAAAATAAAACACAATAAAATAAACACAGCTTATCACTGTTTTGGTAACAGGAGGCGCATGACAGAAGTGGAGCTACGCTACAAGCTACGGTCTTCACATGAAAAGCTAGATTCAAGACCTGTACCATTCTTTTAAATAGTCTTTGTTGCTGTCGTTGTTGTTAAATAAAGAAAATGTAAAAAAAATAACAATAATATTTAGAATAATAATACAGCAGCACAAACAACGGTGATCTTGACATTTATAAACAGTGCGTTGACCCTCCTGAGAAAACCAACCCCTTTTCACAGAAAACCCAACGGGAGGAGGAGCAGGACGACGCGGGGAGGAGGTGACTGGGCGGCCGCGGTGCGGTTCACAGGTGCGGCGCTTCAGTGTTTTTCGGGAGGGCGGGCGTGTGCTGGGCCGGTCTCTCGCGGCGGCGGCGGCGGGAGGGGAGTGACAGGGCTATGGGACCCCCAGGGAGGCGCCGTCGGGCCGCCTCGCCGGGGGGAAGAAACGGAACAGGGGGGGAGGAAACCGCCGACGCTCGGCGCTTTAACTCTCCTCAAAGTCCTGGGCCGACTCTGTTTTTACCCTCTTGGGAGGCGGGGGTCCATCTTCCGATTCCTTCAGAAAAAGCAACGGCGACATTTGGAATATAATAATCGCCATGTTGAATATAGCAATATACTGAATGTCAAAATCACAATATATCATTTAAAGCATTGAATAGAACAATCCCAGTATATGACAAAGAATAGCAATATACCGAATAACCACATTGTATAATAAATAATTCAGCCTATTACGATATAATAATGACAATATTTGATATAAAGAATAGCAATGTACTAATTAAAATAAAAGCAACGTACTGAAAACGGCAATATAGATATAGATGTAAATGTCATCTGCTACTTTTCAATGAATGGTTCATATTCTGTGCTGTGAAGACTTTCACAGCTGATTCTGTTCTATGAGTGCTATCACATGTAACGATAAGGTATACAAAGAAACAGGGAAACACCTTTTCCCTACAGTGGGTCTGCACGCCCGCTGGCTGGGCCTGAGCGTGCCAACCACACCTGCTTGCTGGAGTGGAGCTGAGGAGCTGAGCTGTACCCCACAAGACTGAGGCCTTGTGACACTGCTGGCCAGCTAGAGATCATTCTCCCAGCAAGATCACCTGCTCTGGGGGCTGTGCTGGAGTCTTCACTCCGACTGAGACCAGAGGGCACTTCGCTCCAGTCAAAGTGACGGCTCACGGCCTTCTACTGAGATGCTACTCATTTGACTGGGGCAGAGTATTTCGGCCAGCGAATGTGCAGAATGTGTTTTTTTTTACCATGCCAAGCAAATGCTAAGACTGATCACCACTGTTGTAATGAAGAATGCTCTCAAAATGACTGCTGTTCTTGCGACAGAATGTAAAGGAATTAAATTCCAAGGTTAATGAGCACAGAACACAGACCCTTATTCAGGCAATACATTTCCAGTGGAAGATGGGACCTTCTACAATATAAGGGCATGTGTGTCTGAAGGTCAGTCACTACTAAACCACATGACCTGAACCAACTTATTAAATATTTCCAATTCCGGAGTTAACCATACCCCCTAGTACTCAGTTCACAAGACCTTCACGTGCAACACTGAGCAGGGGCAGACGGTATATTGCTATCTGACAGAATAACCGTACTTGACTTTGACTTTGACATTTACATTTCAAAAATACTCCAGTATTCAAGCAACTGCATATTATTTACCATGCAATTTGTTAGAATATTACTTATAATTGCACTGTACAGTCTTTTAATGATTAAACAGTTTATGTTTCCATGTTCTATTAAATGTCTAGTAAAATTATATGTAATTATCCTTACTGAAGGGTAACAGGCAAATGAATCAAATTCCCCATGCAGCACTTGAGAAGGATTAATTGAAATCATTATACACTCCACAAAAAGCTGGGAATTAGATGTCACGTAAGACAACTGTACTGATTTGCAACTGAACGAGCCGGTTCTTTACCTGAGTGGCTCTGTCCGTTTCTGAGAGGGGTTCTTTCTCTCCCGAAAGCTGTGCTTCTGTCTTGTCTGAGCTGGCTGCTGGGTTCTCTGACAAATGGGGATTCTTGCCTGCACATGAACCGAAGATCTTTTAGAGCACGTCAAAACCAAACTGAAGAACTTGCCCTCAACCCCGCTTAAACCTGTTCCTAATAAGCCATTTCGAAGCTGTTTTGGAAGAAGTGTCATTCGGAGAGGAATTAGTGTTATATCTCTCAAACACAGTAATTAGGACACGCTAACACATTGAAAACGATAGCAATTAGACCTCCCAATACTGCAAAAAATGCACGAAACACTGTGGTTTCACATTCATCTACAGAAATTAATTTTGGTTTTCTATTTTACTTTCTACTGGGAAGATGTGAATGGTTTTCTGAAATTTTGAAAAAGTGAACACTGTTACATAACATACGCATTAACTGAACACATCCAATCACCAAAACTGTTTACAGGTTGTGGACTGCGCTCTCATGGTTTCAGACCCAAACAATAATAGTGTAGGTGAGTAACAACTTAGAATACAATGGAGCCACCTGGTGGTACAAATGTGCCATTACAATGAAAACGCCTCTGACTGCAGGAGCACCCACAGAGAAGCTCATAACAGAAGCTCAAACAAAATGGCCTTCACTATATCGCTCATTTCTACCAGTTTTACCTTGAATTCATACACACTACTGATTATACACTTCTTACTCTGCATACAAGTTAAATATGTGCATGTCCAAGCACACAGAGCCTTCAACTCTACCATGCTCTGGTCTTGATATTATTGGGGAATAACAGTTATTCTGGGCACAGTCCGAGAAATCCTGTCATTGTCTTTAACCGCTTTAGGCAGAATCCTTTTTAACGTCCATGGCTGGTCATTTACAGACCTGAGGTCAGGGACTGTCCTGCCTACAGTCCTTTAAAGTCAGATTCCTGCTGGGCTTCTAGCCAGGAGTTCTGAACTGACTCTCCAGGTCAAGAATCCAGCAGCTTTTCTCTAGGCCAGCTGAAAGCTTGAAAATTCCCAGGTGTAAAAGGTGTGAAATTCCCTGGTCTCAAGCTGTTTACATCTTACAGAGACAGAAGAAGCCTTCTGGTTCGAAGGAGTCCATAGGGGCATTCAAAACACCAACGGATTAAAACCTGGGAAAATTAACAGCAAGTCTGAGTTCTTATCCAGGCCGTGATTTCCATTACATAATCAACATCTCAGGTGGAAAGAAAGGCAAAGGCCTGAGGAACTGGCGTTTCTCATCTATGCCCTGAATGAACTGTTTGCATTTGTATAGCAGTCTATACAAATGCATAGCAGTCTGTAGTTGCACCCTTAACCCCAAAAGATCCCAGAGTGCTTTACATACAGGAGGAGACCCCACTTCATCCAGCCCCTGGGGCGATGCCCAGCAGCCCCTCTGTCATCCAGAGACAGAGACAGAGCCTCGCTGACTGTGGGGACCAGGACGCTGCTCAGAGCTGCAGTACACAGCCCCACCACGTCGCCCCTGCACTGACCCGTCTTGCTGTCTTGTCCAGGCTGGTCCTTGGCCGGGGACTGGCTGTGGTCGGTTTTGGCTTCGTTGCTGTCTCCCTGGGAGACCGCCATGGGCTCGGGCGCGGGGCTGGTGCTGCTGCTGTTCTCCTGCTTCACGGGGGAGGAGTCGGCGATGGAGCTCTGGTTGCTGTTGTCGTCTGCGAGAAGGAGGAAATGAAACGGTTTGAACTGGTGGTGGTGCAGTGAAGCCCGGGTCACGCCAATGGGATAAGATAAGAGATAGAGATAAGATCACTTTATCAGCCATATGCAATTTCTTGCATTAGGAATTCATCTTTTCGCATACCCCAGCTTGCTCTCCATGAGACACACAGACAGGGAGAGAAGCTGGGGGTCAGAGCGCAGGGTCAGCCATTGTGCAGCGCCCCTGGAGCAGTTGGGGTGAAGGGCCTTGCTCAGGGGCCCAACGGAGTAGGATTCCTCTGCCGGCTGCAGGATTTGAACCGGCAACCTTCCTGCCACAGGCGCAGATCCTTAGCCACAGTGCCACCGTTCCTCCCAAACTTGTCCAGGATTCGGAAGAGCGCGAGGTGCCACTACGGTGGGATGGTAGTGGGTTATGGGTCCCTGGGCTTCTGGGAAGGCAGAGGTCGTTACGACTTGCCTGGTACCTGCAAGCTTCCAGTGACATGAGTGGGGTATGCATCGCCCCCCCGGCTCTGCCCCCCTGCACTGTCACGTGCGTCTCTGACGGGGGGGCGTCAGCCGTCAGAGGAGCACATCTGCAGGTCCTCATTCTCCCCAGTGGCCAGGCGAGTCTCACAAAGCAACTGCCGGGTCCAAACAGGATGTGTATACTGAGCACAAATACCTGGGGATTCTCATTCTTAAGAGCAAAAAAACTTGACCATCCCCTGCCTAGTAATAACTTTGTGAATCTGCTCCAGCGGAGCGGAAACCAGGAGGATAAAGGTAAGCGATAAGATACTGGGTGAGGGAAGCAAAGCAGCTATTGTTTGTTTTAAGCCAGGGACCAAGGGAACAACAGGCCCACACTAACCACACAGCTCAGTATCAGATCCAACTGGGGGAGAGAGATCTGCAACACAAAGAATTCTTTTTTCATGCAAACTAACGGTTCTCTACATCTGCTAGGACCCTTGCAGGTATACGATAAACGGGCCTGCCCGACCTGTAATCGGGTAGCATAATTAACGTATGTAACTAGGCCTCACCGTGCATGTCCATCATGCCAGGAGAAGAGCTGTTCTCTGGGGTCGTCACCTCTGAGCCACACTTGTCATCCTTGCCTTTCTTCTTGTTCTTGCTCTTCTGAAACAAGACAGTTTTTACACTATAATCCTCCAAAAAAGGGTTTCTCAACCATTTGTGACCGGACGGGTTCCCCTTTAAAAAAAAAAAACTCTGCTCATTTCAAACAGCCGCAGTGTTATTACCAAGAATGTCAATACCCACTGTAAGCACTGTAAGACTAAATGTAAAACTGGGACACTCGTTTAAAACTCGATGAGACAGAGTGGGGTGAAAAGATTCTGTTTTTTGGGGGTCTATTCTGGACATTAAATTAAGGAACCTGTCTTTGCTGCTTGGATCCCTGTTGGAAAACACCCTTATCCACGGAATTCCGTCCTCGGATGTAAAGGGAACCACTGGAAACAGGCCACCTCCTCCAGGCACCATAACAACTGCTGCTGAACAGACAAATGATAACTGGAGCCAACAATCTGACTCCCGAAAGGGCATCTTGCTTTTCCCAGACCTGTACAAGACGGTGTTTATTCTGAAACCGAAACGTTCAAGGGAAGCTGAATAAAACACACCGTCAGCGATTCACTCCAGTCCCGTAGTTTTCTCAGTTTGAGAGGTGAATGCTGTTAAATGTTTATAAATATTATTTATATAAACTAGGGCCCATGTGGACTTCAAAGCGAGAGGCAGACACGGGGGGAACAAAACTGGGACACAGTGAGACAAGGGCCCCCACTGGAAAGCTGATGCATGTTAAAGACTTACATCATCGGTCTTGGGTTCTGTCACAGGGACCCACTTGTAGATTCGGAGAGAGGTGTCTCCCACAGTCACCCACTTTTTCTCCCTGCGAAGACACACACAAAGAACAAAAGACGGGGTCAGTTTCCGTGTTGGGGCAGTGGTGCAGGGGTTAGCATCGCTGCCTTGCGGGGCTGGGGTCCTGGGTTCAATTCTGGCCCTGGGGTGCGGTCTGTGTGGAGTTTGCATGGGATTCCTCTGGGTGCTCTGGTTTCCTCCCACAGTACAAAGAAACCGGTAGGTTAAGAGGCTTGTGGGAAAATTGGCCCGGGTGTGAGTGAGTGTATTGGTGCCCGTGTGCCCTCTATGGACCGTCGTCCCCTCCAGGTGGTACCCTGCCTTGCGCCTACTGCTTGCTGGGACAGGCTCCAGCTCCCCAGTGACCCTGAATTGGATCGAGCAACAAGAAAGTGGATGGATGGATTGTCTCGAAAAGTGGAGACATTTTTAAGCACACTGGGCTTCTTTTCCCTTTATGTTCTTACAAGGCAGGGCCCTTAGGACCAAGAACAGAAAGCAATACTTTGCAAAAAGAGGGGCGGGTGTCAGGAACAGTGTGCCCAGATGGGTTGTTGATGCTGATTTACTGGCATCTTTCAAGGAAAAGCTGGACAAGATGCATGAATCAGGTAGCTACTAGCAGCCAGCTAGGCCAAGAGCTTGGCCTCTTCTTGTCTACAAACCTTTGTAGGCTCTTGGGTGAGAACCTCACCTAATATTGTACAATTATACAAAAGCTTGCCGGAACAAGATTTTCTTTCACATTTTCTGTTTAACGGGTATGACCTTTACCCCAAATACTACTTTAAACATTCAAAATGTCTGGTTTTACTTATTCAGCTTGATTACACAACACATAGCCCGGTTCTACAAAACTGTACCAAGATTCGCATGCAAGTAATATATAATAGTGTTTTCTAACTGAAAATCATGTGTTGACTGCTAAATTATTGTTTAGAGGACAAATTCTGAATGTTTGCTCCACTACTGGAGACCTACATTTAAAAGTTAACCATTTTAATTTTGCATTCATGTGAACAGAAACCTCATAATGTTATAAAGCTATTCTAAACCTACACTGATATCCACTTCAATTGCTCTGGGAAAATAAAGTAACCTATTCTTTAAAGCATATTTTCTGTGCTTGCGTTTAACAATAAAAAATGCTAACACATAATGTGGTTTTGGCCTACAGTCGCCGGATTTATGATTAAAGATGAAAATACCAGGGGGTTCAACCATCATTAAGGGCTCTTCGTGCAAAAGGAGACTCAAAGACATCCTGACCCACCAGACACCACCCCCTCTAAACCCGTGGAGAGCTGAGACAGCGCCTGCCATGCCAAACAAACAGTCTAGACACAGAAGATGCTTAATTCTGCTCGATTGTGAACCACTGGGCAGAAATCCAGCTCTGGCACTGCGGAATCTCACACAAAAGAGTTCCTGGCTATAGCTGTGCGAGATAGCGCTGCGTGGTACCCATGACAAAATTTAACCCATGGGACAGACGGGCAACAAAGTCCAGAGACTCGCGGATTGGAGACGGCCAAAGACGAGCGTCATCCCCGAGAGCGCTCTTTGTGCGCCTCTGACCTTCGAGACGGACCGGATTTGGTCCACTTGGATGTGAAAAGCATCTTCGGCTTTAATGTGTAATTGTTGCATCGATGAGATAAGCAAGCCTCCTATTGTTACTCTCATGGTCGTTGTCACGCGAAAATGCAGGGTGAGAAGCACAGCAGTTTGCAGAGAAAATTTGGAGCACTGTAAATGCCTAGTTAGCGTAAAGAGAAACGTCCCCTTCTCTAAAAATATAGAGTTTATCCGATCAAACTGGATCTTAATTTCCCCTGCTAAACCCGTTTCTGCGTGTCCGTGCATGTACTGTTTTCCCCATTTTAATTACTTGGTCACTAGCTTGCCTCTAATTAGGTCCCAATTTCCATAGACTTGGAACCTTTAATCTAACCAGCAGTTAGACGGGATTAACCTTGGTGCTGTGTTGATGCGAGAGTCCCTTTTCCCTTAACATATATTTACAAATTATATAGGATTCTCATCTTTACCGTTATACTTCCTACGTCCCGATACGCAATTTGAAATAACCCCACATAAATTCAACGAGGCGGTCATCGTATTGTAAGAGTTAGAAATTTTTACAGAAATATCATTCCAAATATGTGGGAAAAAGTTGACTTTAGAACGAGCAATCTTCTGCAATGTCGAGGGAAATATATCCAAATCGTGAGTTTATCCTTAAAATACATTAAACCGTAAAAAACAGTTCCCGGGATTCCGTTTTTATTTCCATTACAACAGATTTTTAGCCCTCCAAGGATGTTTTTTATATATTTTCTTAAATCGACCTACGATGCCCTAGTAGAAAAACGACGACTGTTTTGTTACGTAAATCCTTCTTAAAACAATATTGCATGAAAGTGTACCTTATCTTCGGATTTCAAAACACAGACCGATATTTCACAACTGTAAAAGTAATGTGTTGTTCGTTCGCTTCAATGTGCTTTTTTATTTTTAAAAAGTCTAACATATTTGCGTGATCAGCCATGCACTACTTCCTACTCCCAGCCCCCACTGCACGCTACATCTGTTTGCTCTAAAGAGCGACTCTAAGCGCTAAATTTAAACCCCGAGACCGAATAAAAACTATTCTGACTCTAGAGCGCCGTCGTCATAGTATAGTTACAAACTGGAGATTATTGTTATGATTTGTGCGCGCCAGTGTCCCGGAACACTCCGCGCAACACAAAGATCCCTTCACCCGGCATTACAGCAGGCAGAAGACAGCAAAGGCTTCATGTGACTGCAACGAAATGGCTTCTGGGTTCAACCCACATTAATTCTTAATGGAAAAATCCATTTAAAAATTGCTCAAACCTTCGCTTTTGCGATCGGTCCGGCGGCTGGCACGAAGCGCAGGAGCGCTTGAGCACACCTGTGCCAACAGCACGATCCGAGCGATTTCAGTTCAAGATGACCCTTCTCGTTCATTTCATTCTTTCTTCTCCCTCTCTTCTCTCCTCCTCCTCCCCCCCCCCAACAAGCTGGGCTTTCTGCTCTTAGATAATGAACCGTGGCTTTTTTTTCTCCTCTTACCATTTTCGTACTTTCTCAATAGCGGCCATAACACGCTTGATGTCATCTTTCGCTCTGCTCCTGGTCTCTGCGCGGACCGACCTGCCCGACATTGCTGCTGTTGGTATAATATTTTTTAAAGCTCGCCGGCAGTTCAGACACAATGCATACACTCAATGTAGAGCTTTGTGAGGAGGGAGCGCGCCTGCGCCAAGAGAGCACAGAGCCTACAGCTGCATGGCAAAGCCAGGCTGGAGCTTTGTCACACAACTCCGAGCTACAACAATGTAGACAGAAGCAACAAAGGCTTCAAAGTTACATTGTTCACAAAGAAAGTTTCGCGAAAACTTCTCGAGTTGACACACACGATGCTGAAAGTTGCAGACGTACTTCCTGTTTCAACGCAACATTCCAGATGGGAAAGAAAAGCAGTCTAAAAAAAAAAAGACTCGAACGGGTTTTGCTTCGGTTAAATTGTTTTTCGGGTTTTCTTTTTTTTCCCCGCACAATACACTCGTCCAAGACGTTTCAGTCTCTTTTAAGACGTATATTATATATTTTAAAAATTATTTGTTTCTATGTTTGGATGAGAGGCATGGAACAGCTTTCATTGTGTTTCATCATATTGTTTTTTCATTATGTGATATTTAAACGCATTTTCATAGCAAACCAAAGTATTCTTAATACAAAGAAATTGCCCAGAAGAATAAAATCCAATACATAGTCAGATATATATTTTTTAAAAGTTATTTTGCGGACATTTATCGTTTCAAAATTAGTGCAGTCATTTCAACCTTTAAACTATACATATTATATAAATCAATATAAATAATAATAACACATCAATAAATATCTAGGTAAAATATTTTATTTAAAACAAAAGTTAAGATTTAGAATCTGCGGTAAGCCACTCCAGCTTCTTAACTGTAAAAATGTTCAAATACTAAAGAGAGCAAAAAAAAAATGCGAATTTTACTGACAAAGTGTTGAAGGTGAAAGCAACTTCGGAACACATTTCAGACGCTGCAGCTACAGGTTGGCAGCTCCATCGACGAGTGGTGGGAAGCATCACAGCCTAGGACAACGCAGACTCTCGGTCTGTCTGACCCTCTTCAGAAGATGCAGTTTCCTGGACAAAAACTGGAAAACCCAGTATGTCAGATGTCAAGGTGTCTATCGTGATTTCTTCAGGAATCACACTTTCCAGCAGAGACTCCGAACCTGTCAATTCAGCCCAATAAAATAAAAAAAGTTAAAAGTGGTTTCTTCACATGAACTCAACAATATGCCCATCACTGTTCAATGTTACAGGAATACATATAATCAATAGAGTAAATCCTTAATAATTCCCTACACTTATATAGGGCTTTTCTGGACACTCCACTCAAAGTGCTTTACAGGTAATGGGGATCCCCTCCACCATCACCAGTGTGCAGCCCCACCTGGATGATGCAACAGCAGCCAAAGAATACCAGTATACTCACCACACATCAGCTATCATGGAGGAGCAGAACAGAGTGATTAAGCCATTTCATAGATTATTAGGAGGCCATGACTGGTAAAGGCCAGGGGAGGAAATCTGGCCTGAAGAATGTCATATGATTTTCACCATTATTATTTCATCCATTATTACCATTAACTACTTAAGAGAGTCTGGTAAGCCATACTCAGTAACATTTTGTGATCTACATCTTTTGCACTGCATTATAGTCTTGTCACTCTGGGACAAGTCACTGCAGAAGACCAAGTAATTTAGTACTGTACATACCTGTAGAATCAAAGCTTCCCAGTTCCAACCTCCCCCCTTCAGGATTTAGCCCCATCAAGGTGGAGAAGTACTCGGCTAGCTCCTCTTCAGTCATGTGCTCACCTAGGAAAAAAAAAAACATTCCATAACGTGTTTTACATCCCCATGTAAACGTCTCATTCTGATTATTTCAAGGACCTTCAGCCATCCGAATGACGTCCTAATCCTTATTATGACATCATAAATCAAGCATAATACAGGAGACTGAGAGAAATAAGAGTTAAAAACAAATGCATGTTTTAATATTTTAAGTTTTATATACTATAAATGTCACAGCTCAAGGGTTGTGAAAGTGCAGCTGAGCTGATTAAGGACTGATGATACCAAGTGGCTGGGTATGAAAAAAGTATGAAAGATCCAAAATTAAAAATGACAAAAAGCCACAAAATGCCTGCCTTTTTTAATTTAAAGGATTTTTAATTCATTAATATCATGTGTGTATATTACGAGAAATAGGGAAAAGTGCTGCTCTTCATGTGAGCTCCTGTATAAAGTGCAGGCCCGCCTGCAGCTTCCCAGATTTTGTTTCTGTTGTTTGCTCTAATGATGAAAATACAGCACAGAACATGTGGGAACAGTCTGCTAATGTCTGAGAATTAAGGTCCAATCTGTTGTATTCTAACAAATCCTGATGTCACTCTGTCAATATTGGAATAATATGTCCCCTCAGACACTGAAGGTAACAAATGGACAAGCTGTCTATAATCATACCCAGAGCATGTGTGACATTTTTCCAATTGATCTGTCAGATGAAAGCAGCAACTTTAAAAGATGCTTTGTTACTTTGGACTGGAAGCAGTCTAACATACCTCTGGCCTGCAGCAGCTGCAGTAGCTCTCCCCTGTTCAGTGTTCTCTCCCCATTCTCATTTTCATAACCCAGAACTTGAAAAGCGTGCCTCAGTTCATTCATAGATATCCCAAATGCTGGGCGATGGTTTACATACAGTTTTATAAAATCTGCCAAATCAATGTCGGTCACATACTTTCCTGTATCTACATACTGGCTGAATTTGACCTCATTCAGCATATCTTCAAGCTGTGAAAATAAGGGAAGAGAGGTATATTTCGAACAGACAGCAGACAGTGTTTCTTTACACAAAAGTGTACAGGAGTCTAGAAGAAACGTCTATGCCAAGCTGATATCCTGGCTCCTTTCAAGAAAAGGCTGGGCATGAATCTGGGATTGATACGTTATTAGCAATCAAACAAGTTAGATGGACCAAAAGCCTTTCTCCTGTTTGCAACCTTTATTATGACAATAGTGATCAGTTTATAGTAATCAAGACTAATTTATTATTAATAATATTAAATATAATAAGGGATACTAAGCACATATGGCCTATAGATAGAATAGGTTAAGAGCATAAAGAGTGTTTTGTTCAGCTCAGACGTGGTGCAAAATGAGAGATTTAGTGCAACACAAAATGGCATCAAGTCAGGCAAGTATAAAACTAATAAGCATTTCTTTAGACAGGTGAAACTATAAATGACTGAATCATTCAAATTAAAGCTACATTACATTTCTTCAGTGAATGTAAAAAGCTCAGAAAGCAGACAGAGAAACAGAATGAAAAACAGGAAGAAAGAAACCTTTAATACAGATCTGACTGCCAGCATCTCTGCAAATCTCCAGACTGAAACCCTTCTCTGAGAATTGTTTCCGATGTTCAAGATACTCAGAGCACAGAACCATCTGTAGCTCATGATTTGCAAAGATGATCTTTGTTATTATTTCAGCCTTCAGTGAGTGGACTTATCTGAACCTGCCTCCTGCTCAGAGGGGTAGAATCCCAATGCCCGCATGACAAAAGGGATCTCTGCCAGGGGGATTCTTGTAGACACCTGTCGGGTCTCCATGGTGTCAATTCCTTGATTGCGCAGCTGGCAATAGTAAAAATAGTCTTCCAGTTCCTAGATGGACAAAACAAAAAACAGTACTGTAGCTCCCATGTTGTGTCTAACAATGAACTTAAATGAAGCGCGTCTATAAAATTAAAACAACAGCTTCATCTTTCTGTCTAGGTAAAATAAAAGCCAACTCATGCACTTCATAGCACAAGAATTAGATGAGTGATTTGATCGCATAAGAAAATGAGAACAGATATTTGCTAGAAGGTGTCTAACTGAGCCTGTTGTGTGTAAAAAGATGACACTTTTCAAAGCATTACTGTGAATTTTATTATACTGCCTATACTGCATTCAGCACCACTGTAGTACACATTGAAGTTCTATGTGCCTGCACAGGAAGTTCTTCATGCATTGATAATACAGCAAAACAGACAAGGTACAACTAATGATTTGCTTGTGTATTATCGACTCCTTTCATACATTCAGACATGGATGATAACGTCTGCTGTATTTCAGAAGAAGCCATTTTGGTTTTAGCACCTTCAGTGTTAATTTGTTACAGTTTAACTACTATTTTTGTTAGATTCCATATGGCATGCAGTTCATTTGTTAAATATATTAGAAAGTGGGGTTTAATAAATCTCCTCACCCTAAAAAGCTCCCCATCTCTCCCACCTTCAAGAACACTGTAAAAGGGAATGAGGTCCTGTCCTCCAAGAGACGCTGCTGCCTCGAGAGCACTACGACAATGCGAGAGAAGGAAAATCACTCACAAAGCCTAAACACGAGATCGATAGACAGCATGGCCTCTACAGGGAATTGAGGAACACTAGCAGGCATTCAGAGTCAGCTTGTGTTAGAATGCTTTGAGAGCAGCAACAGGCAGAAGTCAGGGTCATTTTGCAATGCAGTTAGAAGTAAAAACGTAGACAACATTTTGCATTCAATTGCAATTACAGTACTTCTCTTTGAAAATGGAGAAAGGTACTTGCTCCCAGTCCATTTGCTCTGGAATTGCTTGCCTTGAAGGTAAATGTTAGTAATGCTGAGCACAAATCTGTGGAATGCAGCAGAATGGCTATGGGAGGCATGTATACAGTACGTGCTTAGAAATTAAAATTAAACAATAGGCTTCTTTATTATTTGACTACAATAGACTGATGAACTCACTTCAGGTTGATTTCCCAGGTGAACACTGTGCGATCACTGCCCCCTGCAGTGAAAATTCGCTGGCCATCACAGGAGCATGCAAAGCTAGAGACACCCAGTGGGTGACAGATGAGGGCAGAAGATTTATGGGGATTTCCATCTAATGGCAAGATCTGCAGGCCAACCTGTGAACATCACAGCAAGACCCTTTAACAAACAATAAGTTATTTATAATACAGTCACGCACAGTGCTGCATGGTTTTGCATACTGAGTCTGTGGCTACTTCTTAATAACACTAAAAGCTGTCATATTTCAAAGTCAGTACCAATGAATAACTAATGATGACAGCATGATTTATATCGGCTTAAAATTATAATGTACAGTATTTAAAATGTACTAGTCATTGCCTTAGATCCTTCAAATATTGTTTTTTACACATTACACAATCTTGTGAAGAGAAAGTATCTGACCTTGTCTTTTGTAATGTAACTGAGATAGCGAGCACTTGGGTCTCCACCACTTGACACAGGTAGAATGGCAATCTTCTCAATTGGAGACCCATATGTTGGCCCAAGAAGTGTCTTTCTTCAAAGAAAATCAGATAAAAACAATAATATCTTCAAATCAAAATTTAAGTAAACTGTTCACTAATTGCCTCAATCTAAACCTCTCACAAGAAGAAGATAGTACCAAGCCTCTGATAATTCCACCCTAAAACATTAAAATGCTTTGTTTTAAAAGACGCTGAAGTTCTTCTGTTCCCTGTTACCTGCACATTTTGGTGGTGCAGTTAAAGAGCTTCATCTTGTACTGGTCATTGGCGGTGAGGATGAAATTCTCCTTGGTGATGGGGGGGTACCAGGCCATGCACTTGGGGACGGCACTCTGTTCGATGCAGTCTGTGCTCAGGAGCCTCAGGTCATCCTCCTTACTGTTTAGATCATACTCTACCTGTAAGTGAAGTCAACCTATGACCAAACAGCACACTGACAAACACAATGTGTAAATAAAAGCAAAAGAAAACCATATGCAATTTAGCACATACAATTGTATGGAAAGAAATAACTGCTTACCAGTATAGTTTACTCAAGAATTATATATATATATGGGCTTATAACAAACTGTTAAAAATACAGATGCTTGGTCAACACTAGTTCCGAATAATACACCATTTAATTCCACACTCCTGGGAGTAAGCTTGCATTTCTGAAAATTTAAACAATGTAAGAAAACGGATTAATTAAATCATTAACAATGCTCTAGCATTTTTCAGTCTTCTTACCAGCACTCTATCCATTCCAAGAGACAGCAGCCGAGGCTGACTGCTGTCAAGGTGGACTCCGAACACGAGGTCCTGAATGTGTTTATAGTGGGAGTGGTGCCTCCCCAGGTACTTCCACGTCTTCCTGCCATTGTTAGAGGAGAGTCTGAACACTGTCACAGTTAACCCTGCATCCTGGAACAGGACAAATGCACATAACTATCAACGTGCAGGAAAAAAAGGCTAATGAGCCAGAGCCCAGTTTCTGCTCCCAAGGATCATGCTTTTTTCAGTGAGCGTTAATTTGTACACATGAAGAACTTTGAATTAAAAAGGAAGAACTTTTTTTAATACCATATTGCAGTTTGAGCTTGTGTTGCTTTCAACACATAAAATGTTCAGAAACACAAAGAGTTACTCTTGAATTTGTTTTATGTCTCAAGAACAACTGAATTTTCTGTTGTTCAGATTCATGGATATTTGTCCATACAACCATACGACTTTCACAGGCAGAGCGAAACTGTACTCACAGCAGTGGCGAGGAACTGGGAGTCTCTGGAGAAGGCGATGTGGGTTATACTCGCCCTGGCGTATCTGAAGGGCTCACATTCGTTTTCCAAGGTCAGACCATCAAGCACATAAACACTCCCATTATCAAAACCAACTCCTAAATAAAATCCTAAAAACGTTCAATATAAAACATAAAATTATTCATTTCTCATCTATGGAAATTATGTGTGCATTGTGCCCGAATTTGGGCCTGTTCCTGTGGGAGGTTTCCCTCATTTATTATCAGTTTGTGCTTTTTCCCCATTTTGCAATACGATAAAGTTACCCTTTTTGAGGCTTTCAATCTCCTATGATGGGAGATTATTTGTACTTAAATGAGAAACCTACTCAGAAAAATGCCTACAGTGGGGAACATACACATGAATTTAACGATAATCAGGACCTCCAAGTAACATTATTAAGTGATTGCCACATATGGAGGCTTCTAACATACTGAATGTTTTCTTAGAAATAAGAGATTAGCATAAAAACACAAGCTTAAACCAATATGAAAGCATTATAGATACTTCAATTCTGTATGAAATGTGTGCGTTTTATCTAATTGATACAATTAAAGTGTTCCGCATCCCCCCCCCCACTGTTTAAGAAAGGTCTTGGGTATGTGTTGTACAACCACTCTTTCACAAAGGGATCAAGGGTGCCAGTTAGAGATGGAATTAATGCCATTACCTTGAGGATCATACATCATGCACTGGATATGTTTTTCAGTCTCAAAGATTCTGCTGCAGATACACGTCTTGGACTGATAGTCCCACACCTTGAGGATTCCACAGTTGCTTGCCATGGAGACAAGGGGCCGGCCTGGATGGCATGCTACAGCGTGCACAGCCTCAAAGTGCTCCTGCACCAATGTCTCTAGCTTGCTTCCCTCAGCGGTTATGTGAACCACAGTTGCATTGGTAGTGGAGATCACAAAATTCCTGACGGGCAGATAATTGGTAATATTTATAATGCTGCATTCTCATAAAGCAGCAATGAGAGTAGAAGCCATAATCTGTTTTAAACCCCATGAGTCCCAATTCATTTCAGCCTTCTGCTGTGGTTCCCAAACTTGCATTTCTAAAGGCATATTTTCTAGCTGTTGTTTTTTTACAATTGTAGATCTGCAATGGTACTCTTAAGCTTTTTATTTATTAACAATTTAAGTTAAGAGTGAAGTTGATATTACACAAATCCCTGTACTACTGCAAAAACCTCTACACAGACATGCACAAGGAGAAAACACTTTTTACGTGGAACATTCCTGTAATTTAAAGATAAATATTATACATACAAATACAAAAACAAGGCATTTGATTTGATGTAGAGTGTAATATTTATTTATTTCTTCAATTACTTTTAATTAGGTCTATTCACACAGCACAATCCAGATTCAGTTCACTGACACATATTGCAGCATTCATCTCCTAAATGTTGCTATTGGATTGTCCTAGGTCAACCGTAATGTTATAACGAACTAGATCTAGCTGTGGAGAGGATAGGAAATGCTTCATGCTGGAAAGCTAGGAAACCCTGCAGTGCTGTTGCCTGTGAATCACATTTCAAACTCTTAACATCTCATTGCAACTCACCTCACAGCAAAGTGCTTGGCCTCAAGAGTGCAATCTTCTGGATACCCTGAGGTGTTTCTGGCTGGAGATGGAAGCTCTTTTGTAAAGGAAATGGACCTGACTGGACTCAGATTGAAGTGACTATACCAGTTAATCATCTGGATGTTTTCATCATAAAACTTCACATGGCCTCTTGTGTCACCTGTCACTAGGAGGCTGAAGCATTGCAAGCATAGAAAAACAATAACACACAATAAAGCACAGATAGCTTATTTTCTATAGCTTTCGCAGTCACACAAAAGGCAAAATACAATTCTAAACCTGGTATCAATAGTTAATCCTTTATGTGAATTTATGTACAATGTCAAACAAAGCTAATAAATAAGTACTAAAAATATATTTGCAATATGAAACCAGGCTAAAACAAGAGGTGCTGGTAAAATCAAGATACACCATTGGGCCACAGAGCAAATAGACACTGTTACTATATTAAAGCCTAACAGCCTCAGAAAAAGGCCCTTCACAAGTGGTACCAGTGCAGTTTTAAATCTTCATATTGCTACTTAAAATGGTATCTCAGCTATAGGCACTCAACTAAGAGATGACTGCTTGTTATTCTACATCTCAGCTCTACAATTCCAGCAAAAACACTTAACAATGACAGGAGAGCCACAACAGCACTGTACTGCAAGTAACGGCACTATACAATGGAAATTTTTTCAGCATCGGTGGCAAATTGAAAATGAAAAGCTCAACTGTCTGCCTTGAACATCATTACGATGAATCATAGAATTCTCCAGACCAGAACTACCATACAAATGTTCTAATTGTTGTAGACTTGTTTGTAGTCTGTCAGAAGAAAGCACTGCACGAATTCCAGGCTGGCTAACTGTTATAACCAGTGCTTGTCAGGATCCGCAGGAAATTTAAAGAAATATTAAGAAAATACCAAACAAGATTCTCATACAGTCTACCCAGAGAAAGCAGAGATCAACGCTGAAGTTCAGAAAACAAATTGAGTACATTTTAAAGGTGGTTCATGGTTCACGTTAAACACAGAAGTACAAGAAGGGTCAGCCTTTGAAATAGGAAGAAAGTCATCGGTTGCTGTGTGGAAACAGATGGTTCCCAGAGGGACGACGTAAAATCATTCACCTGTCTGTCACAGTCAGCACTGTAATGCCATCCTTTTGCAGATGAATAAGTTTGACAGCTCTTTTGTTATGGGGCTGGAGGAGTACTGGAGTGCGAATTGTGTCCCAGACCACCAGATTGCCAGCGGAGGTCGCTGTGAATGCAAGGGAGGGTCCAGAATGGAAGACAGAGTGACTGAAGGATCCCACAGTCTTGTTGAACGTCTGTGGGAGAGGAGAGGATTGAAGTACTACTTCAATTATTAGTGTTTTTGTGGAGGGGAGATTTCCCTGTTGAAGGATAATATGCTACTGTAAGTAGGAACACATCAGAGGTCAATATTATAACTGGTACAATGTTATGGGAGTCCATTATTCCTAAAATATATTCCAACAACTATATAAAGCATACCTTATCTGTGAGCTGCGGGACTGTGTATTTCAGTTTGTCATTGTCCTGTAATGAGAGGTTAAATTTTAGACAAGTAAAGATTCTTTGCATGGAATTGCATTATAATATATTGTAGATGGTGTTAAACTATTGTCTACTTAGCTTTTTCAGGTAAGGAAAAAAGGACTTGGTTGTTGAAGAAAGAAACCTATAGTATTCATAGCCCCATATGTTAAGCCTTAATGCATTGCATCCAATTTATATTTAACCACACTACAATTTAAGTAAACAACTTAAAATGCAAGCTGAAATAAAATAAAAAGACCCAAAAAGCATCTTACCCAGGAATAAAATACAACTTGACTTCCACTGTTGCTGGCGATCTGAGTGCAGTCATTTGGATTAAAAATGATGTGATTCTATAAAAAAGCAGTACGCTATATTACAAAAAAATCATATTTACACAATGGTATTTATACATACTGTATATATTAGCATTCTATCACATTTTTAAAGAATGCAAGAACGTACAATTTCATAAAAAACAAAACATTTTCTATCATTACCTAGAAACCATTTTGTTTTTCACTCACAGCAAAACTTTGTGGACACGTGACATATTTTTTTTCTAGTACTAGTATAGTCATATTATTAGTACTATTTTCATAGTCCTAAAACGCACCTGCAACCCAAATTCTGGACTCAGGTTTGCTGCACAGACAGGACCTTCCACCTCACTGGTCCAGTCCCAGATACAGACTCTCTGAGGAAAGATCATATAAGACAATCCAGATAGGCACGTATAACTCAGTCTCCAGAATTACAAATAATTGAAATAACAAGTAATTATTATTGAAATAAAAACAATTATCAATATCAGCTGCAGATGACCCACTGGTAGACTAATCCTGCTAGGTTTCTGATTTCACTAATCAAAGCTAGACCTTGTACTGTGGTGTACCAGGTGTTTTGTGAGCCATTAGGCAGCTTTCTTCCCTTTGGCAGAACATCCAAACAGAAGGACTCATCACAGTGAATAGGGACACTCTTCTGTAGGAAGTACCACCTTAAATTAAATTAAATTCAATTACTGGGTGGCTAAATTCCACTCTGGGTTTGTGGAATCTGGCCTCTCTAAATTTCCTCCTAAACTCAATGTCTGAAGTACTTTCTCACATATCCACCTGATCTGCTGAGCTGTAGGCGTTGCATTTCAGTGGAGGATTATGTTGTTCTCCTCCCATATGTAAAGTGCTCCGAGTTCCTTCGGGATTAAAAGAGCTATCTAAGTCCTTCTTATGACTAGGTGCATTGAGTTGAACTCAATAAACTTAAATTCTATTTAATTCCTAGAAATGGAAATGGCAACCACCAAATCATCAGAAAGCCACTCGTCCTGGTCAGATCACAAGGTGAGGGTGGAAGGTGGGGCAAGAGCATGGCCATGTTCGCATCTTATTTCAGGAACATGGATGAAGCACCTGGTGTAACTCCAGGCAAACTAGGGGAGAGCTTCACTCAGGAGGTACCCCCATGCTGTATTCAAACCCGAACCTCAGAGCTATAAGATAGAAGCTCTAACTCTCATGCCATCATGCACCACACAGACAGCTTTGTGGTAAATTAGTTGTGACATAGGCAAAATGGAAAAATGGTAGCTCTTTAGACAAAAGTGCCTTAACAAAAACTCCCATCGAGTAGCATGCTAGAGCACACTTTAATGTACTTCAATCACAGTGTACCTGAACTGCTTCTGCTCCAATCGTAACCAAATACTTTGAATCCTTAGTCAAGGCCATAGCTACTACACCCCCATCTGGGTGTGAGTCAAAAAGGGTCTGCACTGGAATCCTGCAAAACAATCATTTAAAGAATTATTTCATGAAGAACTTACAAATATTTTATTTTAATCGTTGCTGGCTATTGATTAACGTCATACCCAGAGTATGAGTCCCATATGATCACCAAACTCTCTGGACCTCTGTCAGCTGTGGCCACCCACCTTCTGTCCTCACTGACACACAGACACGAAATGGGACTGGAGTGACCCTGGGAGAATTCATGACAAACAGGAATTGTTCCAGTTACTTAAACATGTATTTCCTATGCTTAAATTATTCTAGCCTCCTAGAGACCCCCTCTGAAATATGGCATCTTGTGATGTAGAATTTGAGGCCTTTGGCAGAACTCAAAGATTTTGACACTTGCCAAAGCTTATTTTAGCAAGTCCCCTTCAGTGCTTTCCTAGTGCTGCTGATGGTTTCTATCTGGTCAGATCTGCTCCTTGTGCAGGTTTGTAGAATACCCCCACTCGTTTGTTTCAGCGGATAGCACAGATTAGTCAGATCACATGCACAACAGTTGTGCCTACATTTGCAACATCTCTATTATTTTATTACAAGCAAATATACAGAAACCAGAGCATGTCTTGCCTGGAGAATATGCTGAGAATTTAAGGTATGATTATACATCACTGCAACATGAGCACAGCCATAGAGGATCACCAGCCTATCATCATCATCATGGAGACTGTACACAGGAAGGTCCTGGTTTATCCCAAAGGCCCACTCCAAACTCTGAAAGAGAAACATCACACCAACAATGAAAAATAATAATAAAACGTACAGATGATAGGGGTAAATCACCAATTTTGGCCTAGTGATTATTTTGCTAAGCAAACAGACATAGCTCAGTTCATACAAACATTTACTCAGCATACGTTTAAGTGTATAATATGTACAAGAAACCATAGCAATATATCCTCAAGCACAAGGCATTATATATAAATTGTTTTAGGAAGGAACACCAATGTCTTCCACAACATTCCACAAAAAAATACTATGGGTCATGAAATGTTCATAGATTCCATCATTCAATGCTGTTGTATCACAAAAAAGCCGGAACATGAAACACAGCAAAGCATCAGAAACCCCCCATCTTCATCAGCAGGACAGGCATGCATTCACACATCTCTTTATCCTATCGTATTGTATCACAGTGGGAATAAAACATACCAAAGGCTGGGATCTGATGCCGGGGGTATTTTTTTCTTCAAACAGAGTCCTGGGAGTGGCCGTGTGGACTTGGGAGTATTCTGACAGTCCGGAGGCCTGCTGGTTGCTCACACCTGGGTCTGGCTCATGCTCCTCTTCTTCACTGGGATCTGCTTTTCCACCATGCTCCCCCTTCTTCTGTGCCTCTTCCTCTGTCCGCAACCCCTCTTTTCCAGAGGATGGGCCATGCGGGTCTTGCTCGACCTGTTCTTGTATGGTGGTTGTGCACAGCTCAGCAGGCTGCGTTTCTGCGGGCTGCTGCTTATGTACAGGCCTGCTTTCCTCTCCTAATGCTTCCTCGCTGCTCCTAGTTCCTTCTGCAAGTGACATGGCTTCCAATCTCCTCTCAGTGTCTCAGTAGTCCCTACAGAAAATGTGTGTATAGCATACAGACAATCTTCAGTTCTCCTTTAGCTTGGAATGCATTCATAACTGAGACCTGTCCTCTATGCAGAGTAAAATACAACTGATTCAGAACAGCTGAGGACAGACAGAAAGTTAAAAACAGAAAACTAAAAAAAAAAAAATCAACATATTTCTAGGTGAGAAGTTATTTACTTACATGTTCAAGACAAAGTGTATCTTTCCTGTAGTTAACTGGATGCCACTGAACAGGTTTTAATCAGCTCAAATTGTGTTATGCTAACTTATTAGAAGAAAAACCTCTGAACTGTAAATAAATTAACTTCACAATGTTGTAATTTATTTATAATAACGTGCTAATTAATGACTGACGGATTTGCTCATTATAGTACCAGTACCTAAAAACACGCCTTGAAAAATGGCGATGCACAGTTTCGAGCCCTAAAGTCTTTATTTCTTTACACTGCCCGTTTCAAACACAAACCTGGAAAAATGCTGCTGATTTTGACAGTCTACCGATTAAAACTACTGATTTGATCACACCAACGTTTCGTATTCATCACACAGAAATTCATTTAAATGAAAAAAACGTAAACAACTAAACGCATTTTAAAAACATGGCGTGAACAGTATTTTTTATGCCATTTGATTAATTTCTAACACTGGAGTGATATTATGTAGCTTGTCTTAGCAGTGCGCAGGTGTTAAGGATCGTGGAATTATCCGCTCATTCGGCTTAACTCCTTTCCGTATTTTGTACAGATAAAGGAATGAATACCTTGCAGTTATATGTAGTTATGAATTCACAGAATTATTCAAGGAGGGCGCACAATTATTTAAACTCTAAAAAAAAGCCTGCCAAAAGTGTGAGAAAGGAATACCCAAACACCTTGCATCAAAACTTTTTGAATCATCGCTGATTTTAAATGGGCGCGTTTCGCTTTTCCGCGTCCTCCGCATGACGATAACTCAAGCGCAAAACCTGCACCTTCACACATACATGTCTAACCAATATTTGGCAATTTAAGTAAATCTCTCCTGGCAAATCAAAGACCAAAAACTGTTACCACTTACACAGCTGAAAACGGTGAAATCAAAAGACACTGCCACTGAAAAGCGTCCTGTTGCTTGGATACGAGTCATGGAGACTCTTGGGATACTGGCGGAGTTACGGAACACGAGAGCACAGAGACAACAGTACTGTCATTATAATATAACTGAAACTGCATTTATGTTGTAGACCCTTTAACGATTAAAATACACTTATTGGCAAATGTATGTAATGGCAGAAATGAATAAAGACATCTGAATGTGAATTTTGGTCTTTATTTGTATTCAGATCATCAAAAGAAACTTGATCACTTAGCGCAGACAAATCACAAAGCTACCAGGGAACCATGCAGTCACGCCACCCTCAGTGACAACGCTTCTGCCCAGACCTTCACACTTGGACCTCCACATGGATTGCTCTCGGGTACACAGTAGTTATCACTCTCTGTGCACTGGAACAGGTAAAGGCTTAATCCATGCTACCAGGAAAGGAAAAGAGACGTGTTTGGCTTCTTCAGGTGTCAGCATTAAAAGGTGAGCATGAAACAGTGAAATCGAAAGACACTTCCACTGAAAATCGTCCTGTTGCTCGGAGACTGGTCTCCACATCTGAAGAAGCGTCCACAGCCGGAAGTTGTGTCTCTTTTCTTTTCCGTTCAGCACGGAGAAAATCTTTAACCCTTCCTTTGCGGCCTACGAATGCTGGAGCAGCTCCCTACTTAAAACTCTCCGTACTGTACATGCTGACATTCACCAGGGTAGTCTGCGCAAACGTCCACCTGATGTGTTGCTCCTACTAACCAATGGTACTGAGGCTGGTGCTGTTTCCTTTCTGTTTCTCTCAGATGACGAGACTTGACATTCAGCAGGTTAAATTGCCTCGTTGCCTGTGCTCAGTATGGTGATGAAGTGCTGAAGAATCTTTGCCACTTGAATAGGACAGCCATTGATGATCAGTTTAATAAAATTATGCCAAAAACATTTAACCAATACCCAAAACCCATACTCCATATTTTTCTAAAAACGCACACGGTGAAGTTAGTTTTATGTTCCACGTATTTTGTTAAGTAGATCACTTTGTGTTTCAGGAATACTCCCTTTCATCCATTGTTACACTTCTGTTCAGTACAAGAAAAAGACAACCCCACTTACCACATCACCCAGTGTACTGAATTGTAGGAAAAGACATGTCTATTAAAAACACTGACACACACACACAAAACTCAAAAAGCAAGTTTGGACAAATCTGTTTATTGTGGTCATGTCATTAGAAAATGATTTCCTTCAGTGTTGTTAAAATGGAGATATATGAGTAAGAAAATCATTTCTGCCAACCAAGAAGCATCAACATATGACATCAAAAAAAATTCCTGCTTTCCTCGTGACAATTCCCCAATCCTGTTACCATCTGCCATAATTTAAGTGTCCCATGTAATTCAGTTCCACACAGTTCCACAACTGGGGACAGATCCTGAGCATTTCTTTCCGTTCGTCAAATGTAATTTTTTCTTTATCACGTGGAAGCCTATATGCTTGAGCAATGTAAAGGCATAAAATGTGTTTCAACAGAGTGACAGTAATAAATAACCCAGTGTAATGAAATTCAATAACTCCTTCAGCTCCCAATTCTTACACAGGGAAAAAAAAAACCAGAAAACACCAACAAAATATAGCAACTCCATTTGCAGCCCTTATAGACAAGTCAGCTTCTTGAAGCTCCTCGAGTGGTGCAGCTGTTCTGGTGCTTCAATGTTGTTATTTTCGCAGTGGCACGATGTTACACCTATTGGCACAAAACATTTGGAAGATTAGGAAAGGAAGCAACACAAACACCATAACATTTTGTTCTTTCTGAAACGCATTCTATTAGAGAGGTCTGCTAAGAATTAAAACATCTATCACCAAACATCTCTATAACCAGAATCACCTTGACCCCCATTTTAAAAAACGAATTCAAGGAGTCACATAACTCAATGCCTGTGTGGGTGGCTGACAGCGCTTGTTTTTCAATGCTGTTTCTCAAAACGTAGGAAGGGCAGAGCTGATCAAACCTTATTGAGCGTCTTTATGCTAATCCGCATGTCCTGGGAAAAAACAACCTGCCCAGCTCCATACAAAACGGGTTTTGTTTTTTAAACCAACACTGTATTTTATTTGCTCAAAGTACAAACCCTGTTGAGGTTTCAGTGGGAACAACACCACCCAGGAATGAAGTGTACTGGGTGTTTTAGTCATAGTAAGATCTGGAGTAACTCACTTGGCTGAGGGACAACCTCCTGGCCACAGGACAAGGAGGCTGGGACCCCCATGCAGGGTGAGCAGTGACCAAGGGGCAACTGCAGATGTGGAGATGGGGTGGAGGAGGGAACATAAATGAGGGTGCTTATGTGGAGTATTTATATTTTTCTAACAGGAGGGCTTCAGGAAAGATCACCGACCCACCCTTTAATCACAGAACGACTGTGGCTTTCCTTTGACCGGGGGTTCTGGCTTCTGACCAATGAAATCCTGTCGTCGAGCACTGGGCTCGTTCCTCGTGTGTTAGTGGCAGGGCGGTTATTTTGATTTGTCTGGGCCTACGCCAAGAAATCAACAACGTACAGAGTACCTACTGGCATTTTTTTCCCCGGCTTGAATACTTAAGAATAAAACTGCAAGAAATTAAGATAGAGCATCACAAGAAGCCGAAGTGGCTGGCTGCACGACTGTTGTTAAATCATCGTTTTCAGACCCACCCCAGCAGGCCTCTTCCACTCCAGCGCTGTGGCGTCAGGCCCAGGTGCACTGTCTGCCCACTGCGAATCACAGTTATGCTCAGGGGTTTCTAAGGAAAAAGATTCACCAATGTCATTCAAGCCAACAATATACTTTTCTACAACTACGCGGTTCCACAGGTCATGAAGAACAGCGATCACTGAGCTGTACAGAGTGCAGTGCTCCAATCAACGTGTTTAAAAGCTCGCCTACAGGCCCACTGGGATGAAGACCTGCAGATGAGCTCAAAGGTTTCTGAAAGCAAATTCTTACCCCTTCGCTGTGCTGGACAACCATGGCGATGTTCTGCAGGTTCTGAAAGTTCACTGAATTCACACTGCCAAACTCAACGATCTCGTCCCCAACATGCAAGCCCTGTACAAGAAGGGGGGGGAGAATCATTTTAAGCCATTTCAGAGCAGGACATATTTCTCCAGATAAACCAAAAAAAAAAACAGCATTAGCCTCATTAGGGAAGAGACCAGCACCGTGTTGCATTTAAGATTTCTTCATAAGGTTCAAGAATTATTCAGATTTTAACACTACCAGTTTTTACTGTTATAACTGCCTAGTAAATGTACAGAGAGTAAAGATCCAGCAGCATAATTAAAAAGGATAAATCAGATTGCACACAACACAATGTCAGCCCACAGTCCATCAATCTACCGGCTCTGCCACTTGCTATCCATAAGGCTGGGGCTTATTTCACAACAAGGGCTAACGTTCCTTAAATCAATTCCCCAGACAATCAGGAGAGTCAAGAGTCAAGTCAGGGGTCAGCATTAATCTGGATCTGAGTTTACAGATTCCACAAACATATGAAGTACAACACTTCCAGATCATGCAAACGCATGCATAGACAGAAAGGAGTTGCATTCTTTCAACATGCAGATGATTTGCAATTCATCATGCAACATCTGGAAATTAGTCTGCAGCGCAAGAATTTCCCAGCTCTTGCCTCGAGTCGAATATTTCCACGTTCTGCCCCCCCAGAGCCCCGCAGGGTCCCAGCTAGCTCAGAGGACTCACGGCCAGGCTGGCTGGAGAGCCGGGGGTGATGGCGTCCACTCTGGCGAAGGGCTGAGGAGGGCTGCGGGCCTGCTCCATGGCCTCCTCCCGCGCCTCGGCCTCGTCCCACGCCCTCTTGGCCTTCTCTCGGGCGTGGAGCTGGTGCAGCGCCTCCTCGATCTCCAGCATGATGGCCTTGTGGTCGTTCTGCAGGCCTGCGCGGGGGTGACACACGTCACTGCGTCACGGTGGGGACCAGCGCTGGCGCCACGCCAGCTGGAGGCTTCCCACACAATGCACACATGAGCTGGGCCGGGGGACAAGAGGCGGCTCCCAACTGCGGGACGAACTGAACCTCTAAATTAGACGGCCCGTGGCGTCTGGGCATCTTCTGCTGCTGCACTTTTGACAATCAATTTCAGATTCTGCTCAAGGCAGACACGACTAGTGTTGAGGCTAATTTGAGCATGGGCACAAGTAAAGGATAATACCACACTGAAAAAGTAGAAATAAGAAACAACGTTTCTGCTGTGGGGTCTTAAGATGTGAAGAGTAAGGTAGTGGGATTATAAAGAGCAGGGGAACAAGGCCAGAGCAGGAGAGAATGGGCTCACAGGGGTAAAAGCTGTACATCAATGGATAAGACTGTATACTGCATTCATTTACAGATTACAGCTGCTAACACCCCCCTGAGGCTCTTTCTCAGCTATTCCGTCTCCTTATCCTCCCGAAACGTTGCGTTTCGCTGAAGTAACCTTTCCGTGCTCCTCTGCAGCCGAAACACGCTGACGCGGCCGTCCAGAGAGGCAGCTGCGTCACATGGCTTAGAAAATAAGAGCTCTCTCGCTCTTTGGCCGTACGGTTTTCACACACCCGCACCACTCACAGGAGATGTTGTGTCTCGCCGTGCGGACCTGGAACACATCCACGTCTGCTCGCGGGTACCCTTCTACGTCAACGAGCGGACCGTCCATCCCAACGCCTTTTTGCTGTCGATGAAGTATTGGGATCACTCGTATTGCAAGCTCATCACGGTTGCATATTACAATAACATCTAAAACACCCGTTCGCACTATTTCTGTCAGGGGTCCTTGACGATAATCTACGCATAAAACTTTTTCAAACGGTCGCAGAAAAAAACACAGGCCCTTTTAGATACACACTGCGTGTTATATTTTTTCTACAGCGATCTATGTGTTTTACGCATTATATCGTTTTCCCGTTATCAGAAAGTTCAGAACTTGAAAATCAAATACTACGACGAGTTTATTTTATCTCTGTCTAAAATACACAAGGTACACAAACCCAACTATGCAGACTCTGACTGAACCGATTTTTGAGTACACAATGGGATAATCTGAAATCTTACATCTTCCAGAACGTCGTAGTATGCTTTAATCTGTTCTTCAATTTCATCTTTCTTTTTGACGAGATTTTTAACATAATCAACCGTAAATGTGGAGTTATTGTGGTCGCTTTCTTCTGTCATCTTCAAACCGTGTCCGGACGTTTAACTGCAGCAACTACAACTACGGATCCTTTAAATGGACATACTCTGCTATTCCACGGAACGCGAAGCTATATTCAATCTTCAATGTTTTTTCAGTAATCCCCTGTAATTAAAATGTATGGAACGCAATTCCTTTGATGTCAGTTCTGCCCGGTTTTGCTCACAGGAAAACCACACATTTGAGTTTAAATTGATTTAGCAAACAGCACCATAACTTAATGAATTAAGTGTTTTATCTCTGAAAAGAAAACGCATCAGTTTTTGCCGTTCCATTTCGTTCCTTCTATGCACTGGCGTGTAAATAATTGCGTTTGAAGGAACATTTACCCGGATAGGTAGACCAAATTAATGAACACATAAATAGCATCTCGCATAATAAAAATTAGTCATTTTGCTTTCAACGTTTAATTTAAAAAAATGCAAGATAAGTGATAAGATGATCGTGAATAGATTTGCTGATGCTATAGTGAGATGAGGCCCGATATTCTTTACTGTGCGCATTTAAGACAATGTGTTCAAAGCGGGGGGTGGAAAGCGCTTGCTACAGTATATATGTTTTTGTTTCCCCTCCAGAAGGCAGTTTTAGGGATAACCAATTGGAAACCAGGATCTGAGGAACTCCTCTATCGAACAACCCAACATGTGGAACCATTCAAGCATGAACTAACTAGCGCTGCAGCACTAGATTCACGCCAGCATGAATAAGCATTTTTGTGACCGACAAAAACGTTGTTTTGTCCTCGTGCTACATTTCACAATGAAATATACTTTTTTAATACGTTCTGACAAACGTCTCAAAAAGGGCACCATCCAGCCGTCTGTGTATATTCACATACTGTATGACTGTCATAGGGACCAGTGATACATTCTTTAATAAAGTGTTTTTAACGTGTTATATTATACATAGGAACAGGTAATAGGTTTATTCCATGCTGAAATAATTTCTCTTTTCAGCATGGAATAAGCCTATTGTTCCTCTGCAGACTTCGCATGCTGACGCAGCTCCCCACCTGAACTTTATTATAGATATATTAGAATATATCATTGCCATATGCTATATGTATACATAATGTCAATGTTCCATTGTCTTATTGTGCTTAACTGAAATATGCGGTGCTTAAAATCTACCCCACTCATAAAAAATCTTGAGTGAGGGAGCCCCACATTACACCAGTTATTACTCCGGGGGCGTGGAGTGCTTCGTGTCGTCTTTTCGCTTAATGGTCTGAAGTTCATTGCATCCCCGGTTCGGCTGCTGCAAGAATCAACCAGCTAACAATGGTGAGATCACTTTATTGGTTTATAAATGACATTTTAGTAAGCTCTTTAACTACGCTTCTTCCCCACAATTTTCCACTTCTGTTTGATAGTCCCTTTTATTCATTTCGCATATTTTTCTGTTTCAGATGAGTCCTCGTGTATGTATCATGTGATGTATATGTATGGAGTATTTTGGCATATGTAAAATTGTATTTCTCCTTCTCTTTAGACTTCTTACACCGACAAGGGCGAAAAGGTACGTATAGCGTTTTTATTATAAGTTCTTACTCATTGAAGTGCCCTGTGGTCATGCCTGAAATCGTGCAGTAAGGGCAGCTCATTTTATATAAATATGTATTTTTTATGCAATAGGATATCTGGAAGAAGAGAAAACACCTGTTGTGGTTGACAAAGTCTATTATAGTCTATCAAAGTCTATTATAGGTTGACAAAATGTGATGGGGATGTTTTTATTCCCATCACAAATATCCTTTTAAATTCACGACGTGTACTTAAATTGATTCGTAGACGCGATGGAGCGTATTAGCTGGAAATATGCTTAGCTTAAACTGTATTGTTTTTATGCTTATTCCTTATTAATGTGTTTATCTGATTATAGCATGAAAGAGGAAAGTTTATTTGTTTCGACCACATCACATTCTGGGTTGGCAACGCCAAACAGGTAAGCGTATTTATCCGACAGTTGAATAATTTTGTACTTTTGGTTTTCTCGCATCTTATTTTTTCCTCTCTCGAAATCACAGAGGTTTTCCTCTGGAAAGCTTTCTATTGGCTTTAAGAGAGGGGTGGAGTGGCTTCAGTTATTTTAATTAAACCCACATTGATGCCTTCAGCGGTTTCATCTGACCGAGGGGCTTTAGTTTACAGTGTTAATCGAATTATGTCTTTAATTTCATTTAATAGACATACTTATGTCTACATGTCATTAAAACAATTTAAGTAGACAATGTCTTCCAACAAAGATTAATATCTTCCCTGAAAACGACGGTCCTTTTGTAAAAGTAATCTGAATAAATTAGAATGGGAAAATACAATGTACTATTAGAACTAGGAATCTTTTAATTATTCTATGTGAGTAAGTAAAGGTCTATTCAAAACTTCTCTGTGGGCTAAGATATTGAGTGTATTTTTTTTTAGTAGCATAGTTATGGTGGTTCATCCTAAACAGGTTTCTAATTTATTTTTATGTTAAAAATTAAAATCGTTTTTGACTTTGTTTCCAGCCTACCTGCAGCGTGACTTAGGGCAGGACACATATTGCCTGTGCCGTATATGGAGTGAACCTGCCTGCTTGCTCTCCTTTCTAGGCGGCCTCATTCTACTGCAACAAGATGGGATTTGAGCCCCTGGCGTACCGGGGCCTGGAGACGGGGAGCAGGGAGGTGGTGTCCCATGTGGTCCAGCAGGACAAGGCAAGCCCCCCTTTCCTGTGTGCTCTGCAGCTACAGTAGCTTCTGTCCAGTGACAAAGCCATCCAGGGGGCCAACAGCAGAGTATTGGACGCAAATACTAAAACATTAACAAACATTGACAGTTTTGTCTGATGTCTTCCTTGAGGTCACAATACCAAGTTTGACATCTTTGTTTTTTGCTGGTCGCTGTGGGTAGGCTCTTTCTTCTTGGTCCTTTAGAGTAAAGATAGGCCGTCCTTCCTCCCCAGATAGAGGTAGATTTTCAGTAAGGAAAGTGAACTCCCTCCGAGCTCCTAATTAACCTTAGGGTGTCCTGTCTAAAGAGCCATGGGGCAAAGGCCTTCATTAACTATCCAAGGAAACGTTTAAATAGAAATACACGGGGAGATTACTTTCAAACTGAAAAGGAGAAAAAAAAAGAAGGAAAAAACACAACCTCAGGTGAACAAAGCCTCCAACAAATGCTGTTTGTTCCTCTTTCTTTTTGCTATTCAGTTTGGAATGAACCTTTACTGGTTCCTCTATTTCTTGTTTTTAAGTAGCACTCTCAGAAAACAAGCCGGTCCCTGAATAGAGGCTTTAATGGTATCGCCCCCTTCAGTATTCGGAAAGGTGTGATAAAGCAAAGCACAGTTATTGTGTGTGGGGGGGGGGCTGGACATGTGTATATTCATTCTTTGTCATGCCTTCCTGCAGATCGTATTTGTCTTCTCATCTCCACTGAATCCAGGAAACAAAGGTAAGTATCTGGTTACGGGAAGGAGGTGGGAGGTGGGAAAAGTTGTAGTAAAGCTACAAACATTAGCAGGATTGATCTCCTCTCTGGCCCTGTGAGCCAAACCTCTGTGTTTAATCCGCTCTGCTGGAAAGACATGAAATGGTGCCTGTGACTCTGAGGCACTTCTTCTGCTGGGAATTGATCACGGCCGCCCTTGGCCATCTCTGGCTTTCGAGCCACGTGGCACCACTGCCAGACAGTGGAGAATTGTGCCAACATGGGTCCTATCATGGGAGAATTCAGCACAGTCTAGATCCCAAGAGGGTGGCGTCTCATCTTCTGTAACAGGCTCAGCAGCAAATGAGCCAAGCAACATTCACAAAGCACGCTGCATCTAAATGATTCTAAACACGACCTTATTCGTTTTCAGACGGCTGACTCTCTGCTGTGTTTTCCCCTCTTTTTTTTCTGCCTAGAGATGGGAGAACATCTCGTGGAACACGGAGATGGAGTGAAAGACATTGCGTTTTCAGTGGAGGACTGCGACTTTATCGTTCAGGTACTGAGCCCAGACAAGGGAACTGGAGGGAGTGCTGCTTTTATCCAGCTACCGGTTATCAGAAAAGGGAAGGATCTGAGCACATCATATTCAGCTCCTTCTTGAGAGACAGGAAAAAGCAACCTGCCTGCAAAACCGAAAAGAAAACTGAGACCGAAGATGATCAAGGACACTTATCTTTGCATATTTCGTGAATGTGAATTATTCAAAAGCACAAAGTCCTAAATATGTTGTACTGTAAAGTTGCTGTCATGTCACAGGCTGGGTCAGGTGAAACTGGTTTCATTCAAAAGGAACGTGCACAGGAATGTAAGATCCGTAGACTGGGGTGGGGACTGACAGGCCTCGATTAATGAAGTGTGTTTCTCATGCCTTCTGTCTGTCCTTTGCAGAAAGCTCGGGAGCGTGGGGCTGTTGTTCTGAAGGAGCCCTACACAGAGGAAGACAAATACGGCAAAGTGAAATTAGCAGTGCTCCAGACGGTACGTGAGGGCCTGCATTACAGGTGGTCGAGCACAGGAATGATGTGTAAAATGACACAGACTTCTAAAGTGCAGGGCCCTGCAGAAGATCCAAGTGTTCCCAAACCAAATCCGCTTGGAGACGTGGAAGATTGATTACAGACAACCCTGCTGTCTGTAGTCAAGCCCGAGAGAGCTCCTTGCCCCTGTGTTCTTCGATAGGATGTGGTGTCCATCCTGTCTCAACCAGCACACCTGACATTTGCCTGTAAAACACATTTTGTGAGGGAGGTACTAAATACAGTCTCAAGATTATTTCTTATGAGGCAATTGGAAATACAGCCATGTTAAAATTCCCCCAAAAACAATAATGAGCTTGTGTACCAATTAACATTGAATAACTCCAAAGCTTACACCAGACTGACTAGGATTTGGAGCAACATTTACAGTATAATTAAAGTGATACGTTAAAGTGAGAGCAGACTGAAGTGTACTAAAACACTATGATCCAAGCTTCACCACACCACAGTTGAGTACATGCATTCTAGAGGTATCAGCATGGCAAAAGTAAGTGAAAACTGCCAGAACTACCTGCAGTTTTCTGGCAGAAAATTCCCAAAAGGAAATGAGGCTTGGTCTTCTCTGCTTGAAATTCTGCATGTAGCATTCCATTGTTAAAAGAATTGCTGTTATCTGACAGCTGGTAACGTGCGTGCCTAGTGGTGTCCTTCTCTCAGTTCATGGAGCTTTCTGAATGGGCGTAGTGAAGCATGAGGACTGACCCCTGGTGGCCGATGTCTCTGCAGTATGGGGACACCACTCACACGCTTGTGGAGAGGACGGACTACAGGGGACTCTTCCTGCCCGGGTTCAAGGCTCCTCTGTTCCGAGAGCCCCTGCTGGCCAAGCTGTGAGTGCATCAGAAGGCCTGGTTGAATGTTGTTTTTTTCTAAACATGAAAAGTAATAAATAGGGATAAGTTCAGTTTTGTATGGATTACAGCTGGGCCTGTAGGATATAAAGCAAGTTACTCTTTATACCACAATAGGTGGCCCAAGCCTTAAAATGTCAAATGATGGAGATTTTCTGTAGAGAAAAAGCTGGTTGGATAAGGCTGGGCTAAGAGCAATGAAAGTCGAGTCATGCGGACGTCTTGTGGCTCTGTATCTTATTGTCAATCAAGGTGTTCTTTATATGATCCAGTTTCAATAAAGCAATTTTATTAAGGGGGGGGGGGGATACCACTGAGATCTGTTTTTTTAGCACACTCTCAAACCACGTCTGAAACGGAAGGTGTCTTGTAATCCGTGCTACTTTGAGGGCTTTCAGACTTTTTTCTCCCTTACTGAGCAAATAGGGGGGAAATCATGGAAAAATAGAACCTTAATGATGAAGTCATGATCTTTGCCATGGGACACCTGCGTATCAGATTAAACACGAGCGGCTCCATGGTGACCTGCATCTCCATGTGGGGCGAGTTGCCTGTGTGGGACCTGTGGTGACGAAGGTGTTGCTCTGCCCTGCAGGCCCAGCGGACAGCTGAACTTCATTGACCACGTGGTGGGGAACCAGCCAGACGATGAGATGGTGCCTGTGGTGGAGTGGTAAGCAAGCGGCCAGGAAGCAACTGGCTGTGGCTCGAATCTGGTCAGAGCACGTGGGGAAGATCACTCAGATCTCATCTCATCTCGGGATTCAGGAGATTAAGGGTTGCTGAGTGTCCTCGTTCACACAGTTGACTCAAAAAATGAAACAAATACCAGATCACAGATTTATAGCTGTTTTTTACATCAGGTTCTTTAAGATGACTTCTTCTTGGGGAAAGGATTTCATTAGGAGTGGAGGATTGGTTCGATAGCATACACATGGAACAGGGCGGTTTTCTCGATGGATCTGAGCGGTTCTCGTGACATCTGGAGCGGGTTAGGCGTGTTCTGGCACCGCCACTGCTCCGAGATCAAACATCGGGCAGATTGAGTGCAGATGTGCTCCACATGCAACCAGCCTGCTGTTAAGTACACCACAGGCATCATAAAGATGATCAAGAAAAGGTTTAGTTTTAACATGCCAAGTCAGAGCGAGATTTTGTAGGAGCTTTTGTAGGAGCTGAAGAAATAAATGGAAAGTTATGCTGCCTAGGAGTGAATGTTATTCTGGGTTTACAGTTTATTTGAATAGAATAGGAGCTTATTTTGAACCTTTTTTTCTAGCATTGAAATGTATGTAGCTGAGGGAGACCGGATGTCAAAGAGAAGCCTGGTCAACGACTGTAGAGGATGGTTTGCAGGCATTCCTAACCCAAGCCATGTGCTCCTGGGATTTGGCACTGCTTTGCGGAATCATTGCTTCTTACTGGGATCTGGCTATTCCCTCAGATGGTCAGGCTTTGTTTCCCAGCAGGCAGATGGCAGCTCAGTCTTGGAGATTAGTGGTACTGACAGAGCTTTGCTGGTTCTATCCTCAGGTATCAGAAGAACCTTCTGTTCCACCGTTTTTGGTCAGTGGACGATAAGCAGATCCAGACGGAATTCAGTTCCCTCCGTTCCATTGTGGTGGCAAACTATGAAGAGACTGTGAAGATGCCCATTAATGAGCCCGCCATAGGGAAAAGAAAATCTCAGATCCAGGTTACCTTCCAGTCATCACCTTTTCATTCTCATGTTCTGTTTTCATAAAGACTGGAAACTAAGCATGACAGCACTGGGGATGCTACAGCAAAATTCAAATTCATACATGTACTGTATGAAATGAGGGATCAGAACCCCTGTATCTGATAAAGTTACTCACTAGTGACTTAGACGTTTAACTTTGATGATTTGGCATATATTCTTCTTTAAGGTTTTCATTTGGGGACTCTTAAAGAGATACTGCAGTGAATTAATACTGTACATCATGAGTCCAGTGAAAATCTTAACAAAAATGGTAATTGTGGCTAAAATATGGCACATATCTCAAAAACACACAGCACCGCTGACTCATTAAAACACATTTTGCAGAATGGCAGGAGGGTATTCAGTCCTGCTGAATTCCAATACCTGCTAATGTGATTTAGTTTTAAATTCATGGATACCAAAGTGGAACGTTTTTTCCCAGCTGGGTTGGGAAACTGGGTTTGCAAAGGCTTAGACGTCGTTTTCAGGATACTACCTCCCCTGGTCCCTAGCCACCTCACTGACCCCTCTGCTTCTTTTCTCTTTACAGGAGTATGTGGAGTATTATGGAGGTCCAGGAGTACAGCACATTGCCATGAATACATCAGACATCATCACAGCTGTAAGCAAGTGTTTCCTTCTCTAGCTGGTGCGATCTCACTCGAGTGGGATTCGCTCTTGATTACATGTTGTACAACCACTGCAATCCAACACTGTGGCTCAACCAAAGGTCCAACTTCTTGTGTTTGTATGTCTGGAGTCGACAAAGCCCTGATGCTGAGACCAGTCCTTACTTTTGAAACGAAAGAGGTCATCTCTGACCTTAGACCTTAGGGACAAATGTGTACCAAACTTAAAAAAGCATAACAGCAAAATATTATAGCAAGAGTCGTGTCTTTTTCAAATGTCACTGTAACCTGTGATGTACAGCTGAACAAATTAGTAGTTTACTAACCCTCGCATTTTTGGATTTACAGAAATGTCATCAGTACACATAGATCTATATATAATCTTATACATTTCTATTGATTAACCCTAGTTGTGGACATTGAGGAGGTCTTTGGTGCCTTTTGCTGCACATGGAGATGATCTCTAGTCACTGAGATGGCTAGAAGACCCCTATTATGACCCCCAGAAAACATCTATAAATCCCAGACAGCTGGCGTTCTTCGTGACCAGGCCTGCAGACTGCTGATTTAACCTGAGGCAGTCATCTCCTTTCTTCTGTTGGTTTTAAGATACGCAACTTGAAGGAGCGAGGAATGGACTTCATGTCAGTCCCAGATACTTACTATGAGCAGCTGAGGGAGAATCTCAAACATTCCAAAGTCAAGATCACGGAGGACTTGGCTGTACTAGAGGTCAGTGGATTTTAAGACAAAAAGAACGTGGCAGAATAAAGATATCAGTTCTTCAGAGTTCTCAGTGCTTGAATTAGCTGGATTTTTTTCCAACCTAAACAACCACACCTGTATGCATTAGAAAAATCAAGCAGGAAATATTTAGAACCAATCTGTGCATAGGTGTTTGCAAAGTCCTCTCTGCATTACATTCTTATCTTTACTCAAAGGGAAGAAGCAGAGGAAGCTGTAGAAGGAAACCATTAGAAAAAGATCTTGTCCATCTTTATACTAACTTACAATCTTAGATCCGAGGTCTACTGAAAAGTACCCAAGATAAATTACACAATTAAAATAGAAAATCCCTGTAAAACAGCTTAAGAAGTCTTTTTCTCTGTATATTATAGGAATTGAAGATCTTGGTGGACTACGATGACAATGGCTATCTGCTGCAGATATTCACCAAGCCTGTACAGGACAGGCCCACTGTGTTCCTGGAGGTGATACAGCGACACAACCACCAGGTTAGCTAACAGAAACGAAACCAGCATGGCAATCTTCACATACAGGCCCCAATACTGTAGGTTGTGAATATCTAATAATATAGTCAAGAAGACAAAGCTTGCTTACGACCTTAATCAAGACTGTGGCGATGCAGGGCGCACGTGAAACCGTCAGAACAATTCAAACTTTTTAGCACGTTTTGATGATGGCAGCTCATATTTCTTCCAAGCTTTTAAACCAGAATACATTTCAGTGTTTTTCAGCTATGTGGCAGTTTTTAACAGTGGATTCACCGATTTTTAAACCATTGCAGGGCTTTGGCGCTGGGAATTTCAAGTCCTTGTTTGAAGCCATTGAGGCCGACCAGAATGCCAGGGGAAACCTCACAGTTCTGACTCCAAATGGGCAGTATGAAGCTCTCTAGCCATGAAGGAAGGACAGCAAAACGGGGCTCTCCCACACCCCACTCTGCCTACCAAGATAATGTGCAATCACTGCGATGGTGCTTTAGGATCTCCATTAAAGTGACCACCTCCTTCCAGTGATGATTGTGTGTTATCTGTATAGTGCTATGTGGTTCAATCACTTAATCTAGCTAAAACAGTACCTCTTCAAACTCCTGAATGGCCCGAGTGTTGTGTGGCTGTTTCACACTACTGCAGTGGGAAAGCTAGCCACAATATAGTCACATCCATGAAAACGTTTACAAACAGAATCCCAGGCTCAGCAGTTTGCTCTCGTTGTCCTTGCTGTGTTGATTAGGAATATAGAAGTGGGAATCCTCCCACAGAAGGTGACTTCTGCCACCTCTTAACTAAATGAAAGTTTCCTATCAGAATGGGAAATGTATCAGACACCAAAGAGCTGTTCATTTCTGGCACTGCCCTGTCATTAAGTCTGTAGTAACCTGTATTTATGCATTGCATTTATAGATGTGAGCCATATTTTCCTGACATCTTCTAGCAAATCCTTTCTTTAATAAAGGTGAACAGGAGGGCACAGCATTCAAAAACACACAGCATTTTAAACAAGAAAACATCTCAGGCAATAGTTTGTGATTTTTGTATTGGAGACATCATATTCTCTAGGAAATATCCTGAAATATGATAAGATATTCATAAAATTAGTAGAAATTACTCATTTTTTTATTCACCTGCATGTTTTTTAATCCCTTATTGTATTAACAATTTTGATATACTGTACTTGCTATAACAGCTTTTAAGCGTAGTTACTTCTGTATCACTGTCTTTTGCATGCATGAAATAAATGACTTTTAGCCCATCTGCTTTTGCTGGTCTTTCTTCTACTACAGAGTTGGGAGTACAGTTACAGCAGATGACTTGCATTTAGAGCCCCTGTATCTGATAGAGTTACTCACCAGTGACTTAGACGTTTAACTTTGATGATTTGGCATATATTCTTCTTTAAGGTTTTCATTTGTGGACTCTTAAAGAGATACTGCAGTGAATTAATACTGTCCATCATGAGTTCAGTGAAAATATTAACACAAATTGTAACTGTGGCTAAGATATGGCACATAACTCAAAAACACACAGCACTGCTGACTCATTTAGACAAATTTTGCAGAATGGGAGGAGGGTATTCAGTCCTGCTGAATTCCAATACCCGCTAATGTGATTTAGCCCAAAGAGACAAAAACAAGACACGGACGTTCAGAAAAAACAGCCATGCATCCCCAGAATCTGAAGGCCAGGAGTGCACTCTCTGGAGAAAGTGAAGTGAAACAATTCACATCACCTGTTAAACATGAGACCTGTGCTTGTTTTTGAACTTATTGTCCTTATTATCTTTAAAAAAGTTTAAATATGTAACTATGAATGTGTACTTTTGAAAACCTCTCATGTCTAGCACTAGCCTTTCAGAAAAACAACACTATCCATTTTCTTGTTAAGAAAAGGTCAGTATATTTATGGATTGCTTTATAAAAGTTACTATTATACAATGGTACATAACGAATTCACAAAAAAATATGAACAAATATGTACAGCAAAGACACATCCACAACAAAACACTTTCATCAACAATGAGATATTCGGCACATATTCCATCTTCACACTCAAGAGGAAAACAAAAACCGAATCCATAAATCCTTTAAAAAAAAACAAACATATCCTACATCTCCAAAGCAAGGCCGTAGCATTTAATAATAATAAAGAGAAAAAAAATAAAACAAATAAAGACAAAATACCTTAGACATTAGAGTCTTATATTTGCAAAACCATTCCAACATCCATACTCTGTTTGAGAGAGAACCTGGTTTGCTTCTCTTCTTTCAGACTTTTACAGGTCCCAAATAAAACCACTTTGTTATATATACAAAAATACAAGCAATGAGGCTACCTCTAAACACTTCCATCTACTGCTGGGATACACAGTCCCTCACAGCACTGCTGACCACTGGGCTGCCTTTGGCATGCTGTCATCAAGGAAGTATTTCTGTGCACGGGCCTTTGTGTGTCTGTGTGTGCATACACAATAAATCCAGTTTTAGCTCTGCATAAATACATTTTAAGATGCCTTTATTTTGTTGTCTTTATTTTTATTATTTTTTATACAGCTTTCCTCCACTTAATAAATAGACTATTGAGACATCAGGCAAGACTGTCACCTGATTCCCGTGCAATAGTTTCTGAAGGATAATGCTCTTCGTTTCTCTACATATCAAACAAGGAATTTACATGAAATTTACAAAAAAAAAAGCTTGACACAAGCTGAAAACATTGCTACAAGCTCAATGTATATTACACTTTTTACAGATTTAAGAGCTGTAATTCTGTAGCAAATTGCAGAAAAAAACTCCCATCGTATTCACAATTATAAATTATGTACAAATTTCAGAAGTACAAAGAAACAGGGCTGAAAAAAAAGAAGTTTCCACAAGAAACAATCTTTCAAAGGGAAATGTGGGTTTGTGTACGTACAAGATGCACCTTTGTTTCAAACAGTTTTCATCACTTTTTATTTTACATGTTTTAAATGCTCCCTGAAAAGATCACACATTTTTCATTAAAAAAAAGGAATATTCACAAAAGTTTTAATATATTGTTGCTGTTTTTCCCCCCTTGGAAGATAAAAAAGCCTCTTCTCTTTGAATACAAATCAAGCTGTACAATATAAACATTTTTAAAAAGCCTCCCTACTCTGCCATGTGCGGATTGTGTTCAAAGGACTGTGCAGAGATCTTCGGAAGGTGAAGGCGTGATGAATGACCTGTTTTTGAGTTTACTGATTGACAAAATAGGACACATGCAAGCTTGTTGGTCAACACCAAAGCCAAGCTTCATGCAAACCTATAGTGCATTTGCAAAAAATAAACTATAGCTAGCTTATGTACAGATATAGATTAATGTTACAACTTACTGTACGAGAAAAAAAAGAAAATTACATTTTTGTAAATGAAAAAAGCACCATACAACACACAAAAAATGCTAGTCAGAATGCTCATGATTGGTACTCAACATGCCTTTCTGTGCCTGCAGTGGAGCGATGAGACTCAGAAACTTGAACTCTGACCCTGTGTCCGAAACCACTGACCGGCAGTTTCTATCTCCCTCCAGTCCAGTCTGGACACATCAGACATGACTCCAAGATGTTTTTTTTACATCCAAAATCTAAGACTCACTCTCCAAAAATGGAACTCTAGAATTCCTTCATGACTTGACGTTTTTTTTTGTCATCTACTTTCAAGTAGTTGCTTTCCTCTCATTTCTAAATGTTTCGGAGAAGGCAATTGCCACAGGTGTTATACCAGTCAATTCAGAATCTGGGAGAGAAAGAGAAAACATCCACGAAGCACTTTGAACGAAACTGGATGTAGATCTAGGAGGCTTTTTGCCCAGCAATTATAACCATTAAAACACTCCAAGCTTCCTCTCAAAATAATATTCAGGTACGAAAAGGGTTTCAAAAAGCATGTTATCTTAATATTTTCTTTTCACTTCAACATAAAATACACTGTTTTCAGTCAAAAAAAAATTCATATATACTTGCTTCATAAAATCCTTTTCTCCCAAAGTGAAGCGTTCAACCTCGGAAATATTAAAAATTAAATCTCCCACATTAAATGTAGTAAATGGACCCACCTGGTTGTATGCTTAGCCACTAAGCATCAGTCACAGTCTAGTAAGCAGTCTGCAAAAAGCTTTAGCACTGGGATGTAAACGCGGCCACACAGCCCTTGATCCCCCACTGACATGCAAGTGGGTCTCCCGAGCCCCACCGCTGTCTGGCCAGGTAACGCTCCAGAGCAGTGGTGGAGACATGCGTCTCTCTCTTTCACTTTCAGGAATAGCTCCTTTTGCAGGGAAGCGAACAATGAGTCACATAAGCTGACTTCCACCATGAAAGGAAACGCACTGAGAGAAAGTAAGAGTGAAGAGCACAGGCATGAAGCAAAAGCTAATGCCGTCACTGAACGATATGGGCCCACAATGACCCGTAACTCAGTGCACTCAAAGTGCACATTTTCACTTGAAGCAGCTTTGCCAGGTGTTACACAGCCACTATTCTAGCAGTAAAGACAACTAATTCACACCGGGGGTTCTGCAATGTTATGTCTCTTCCCAGTAGTTTTGTTTCAAAGCAATACAACAAGTTCAGGAATTCACCTGTAGAGGGCAGTACAATCTAATGGCTGGGCTGGACTATTTAACAGAATAATCCAGGAAAGAACGCACCAGGTCACTGTTGCTCTTCAATTCAATTATTAGATTACCGTTTAAAAATATAATCACGGTAAAAAAACATGGGTGCATTTTACTGCTTTTTAAAGTCTGCTAACAGTTAATATTCCGTCTAGCATTTAAAGATTGCGTTTGAAAGTTTTAAATTAGACAAAAGTTGCAAGCTAGTGATGGAGTAAGACATGGAAGGATGTACGCATCACCAAAAGTCATGTAAATAAGAGGTGATGCTGAATATAGGATTAACTCATGACAATTAATTGCACTTTGAATAAAAGTAAATGTGAAAATGGACTTGGTACTTTCTAATAAGGATGTCAGCTTGAAAAAATGTAACAATGAGCCAGGCATGTGCAGATGTAAAGAATTTGACATTAATCTGCTGCAACCGACCCTTGGTTCTGTTTCATCACATTCCACTACAGGCAACAGAAAATACCCAGTCATTCTATGGCCAACAATAAGAAAAAAAACTAATAATTAGAAAACAATTCCAAACCCACGGCGATGCCTTCAGAATCTGTGCAACATCGAATCCAAGGCCAAACTGCCCAAAAGTGAAACCCACCACATTAGCATTCAGTCAAGCCTCACTACTCCCCTTTCACATTATGGTGGCGATGATTACTGTACATTGAACACTCTGAAAAGAACAGGTAGCAGCATTCCCAGGTGGAAGATAAAGTACCATGCGTCTCGCTGTGACCGAGTCGGGGGGGTGGGCTGAGGATTGTGGGAAGCAGTGGAGGTGGGGCGAGGTGGGCTGTCCGGCTGGAGGGGGAGAGGTAGGGCAGGTGAGACGATCTAGTGTTTGTTCGGATAACAAAGCGCAGGGGGGAAAAGTGGTAAACACCTTTTTTTTTTTCCGGTTTTGTTGGTTTGTTTTTTTTTCCCCAAAGAAAAAGAGCACCTGAAATCGTAAACAGCAAAATGGAGTCCTGGACACCTTGATGCACAATCGCCTGTGGAGAGACTTGAGCTGAAGTGCGACACGTTGGTGATTTTGTATGCTTTTCCATACAAGAGTCTTCTTCTTAAACTTATTTTTTTGGCATAGTGCAAGCACACTTGGGTCCAGCACTGTCTTAAAGCGCTTGGAGAGACGCTTGGAGGGGTGGGCGAGGAGAGGGGAGGATGAAGGCCCCCAGTGTAGGGCGCTCCCCCCTCCACGCCCCCCAGTTCTAATTCAGGGTACCCCTGCAGTTTTCTGCCCCACAGAGACAGGGGATCTTCTCATCCTCGATGGGGAACTTGTAGTCATACGTGATCTCCTCGTTAACATTAATGGGCTGCCGAGAGTATATCACGATCTTCTTCTGCGATTCCACTGTGATCACTTTAGCATAGCAATTAGGCTGCAAAACAAAACACAAACATTCTAAGCCATTTGATCTTACTGTTTCTAAATCAGGTGTTTTGGATCACAGTTGGCAAATTTTGTACCCTTTTGCTAGAAGAAAAGAAAATCAGCATGAAAGCATTTTAGTAGAAACCGCTGTGCTTGCCTCGACACTGAAGATTAATAATGGTGGTCTTTCTCTGTTGAGCTACGAGGTCAAAAGCATTTCTTTCGTAAAAACACTACCATTAGCGGGACTGCTACTCAGAATTTCAAATGCCAAAACTCACATCTACCCTGGGCTAGTTTTGAAATGAGACATTAGCCGTGATACAGATATGAATATCCTGCTGCAATTTTTTTAGCATATCAGTTCACAGCAGGCATGGCCCAGAGTCAAAAACACGTTTATAACTTAAAAACCTTAGATGAATTTGGTGGTGACAGGAAAACTAAATTCCCTGCAGGAGGACAACATTTCTCCCAGTTTTTCTCTGTGATACAGTTCAATGCTACTTGAAGGACTACCTCGTGAAAGCTGAGAAGCTTTGTTTGGAGGCAAACCCCAGGCACAAACCAGGCAAAGCAGTACATGCAGCATATCTGATGGGCCGGCAGCCTTACACGCGTTGTTAGGCTGTCAGACTGTCCCCAAATGCTTGCCGTTTGCAGGAGCCAAAAATCACAGGCACAGGGGCGAAGGGCACAGTAAACACCCCCCCCCTCGCCATTCTCTCAGCACCAGTCTGCCGGCTGCCAACCCTCCAAGCACCAACTCTGTACAGATGCTGTGAAGCAATGATGGAGCTCTCCTGGGGCTATCGGATTACATGCGGCTGTCCATACAACTGCCTGGAGAGGCTGGGTGGGGATGGGGTGAGATTAGTCACCAGTGCCTTTTTTCAAAACACTGAACATCATCCAGGGACAGGGCAATCAAGTCTGTGATGATGGAAAACTGAACTAATAAACTTACCGTTTTTTTATATTTCATTAAAATTGAATTTCTACTACAGTTTTGCTAATAGGTGATATTCCACTATAAGGTATCATCGCTCCTTTAGAATATCTTGTATCATTCTTGCTTATTTTACATTATTAGACTGCATTTTAAACCTTTGTTGCCACATATAAAAGACTATGGGCAACTATGGGAGACAGCAAAAATAAATGCTGAGAAGCAGATGACCCAGAGTCCAGTTCTGAGTTATCAATATTATATGCAGTTTACATCCATCTTTGCAAGACTGCTCAGATTCAAAACCCTCAAGGTCAGTTTTATTACCAATAAAAACATTTCCACAAAAACTCATAATTGCCTTTTCTAACATATTGACAAAGAAAATGATAGCAAAAGCAGTACAGTATAACTCACATTGCAGCTGTGGTTGATGAACCTGGCAAAGTTACCACACTTTGTTGCATCGATGATGGTGTCGTGATCCACTCGGAACATATAACTGCTCCCGATGCCCTCATCCTCGTATCTCTTCTCCCGCATGTCTGCGATGACCTGAAGGACACGGTTGAGCAAAGGCAAACCTCATCAGGGCCCTGTCGGCTCCGGACAAAAGCCGAACCGTCCCAACCCAACCACGAGGCTGCTCCTACCTGTCTGATGTTCTGACCCACGTACTCGATCACCATTTCATCCGCCGCAATGGGCTCCATGGCAAACAAGCCCCAGTCGTGGATGTGGCTCTTGCAGAATCTGATCTTCTTCTTGCGGAACTGCAAAGAAATAAAGAGCATTTCTTTTCAGGACGTAAAGGAGGCGGCTGGTGGAGCTCTCCGAAGCAGCAGCCAAGCAAAGAGTAGGGCCATCAATGCATGGTGTCCAGAGGAAGAATGGAAACTGAAAGGATGTGAGTGTGAGATACTGCCGGCCAACTCTGTCTTACAAGTCTGCCACAAAGGAGGGGTGAATTGTTGGAGGCGTGATGTAAGAATGGAGAATTCAGTCTCAAAGTTTCTGCACAGTCCAGAACCTTACAGCAGGGACTCAGCGGGCGCCTACCTTGAGCTGGTTGAACTTGAGCAGGTCGCTGTCGCAGCTGAAGGAGGACAGCAGGCGCCGCTGCTCGGACCTGCGCTCAGACCCAGCTCGCGTGGACGCGTGAGGCTGCGCCGGGATACTCAGTCCCTGGAGAGAAATGCACAACATGAGTTGTGTTGAGTCCTGAATACAACAATCCTTCTTCTGTGCATTCATTTCAGTCAACAACGCCAGCAGACACCCCGTTGTAGGTCCAGTGTTTCTGACAAATAAGAATACTTCCTACAGCAAGGAAGCAGTTCTAGAATTCTTTTGTGTATAAACATCATCAAGCACACAAACTCTCACTTTTTCTTTACCATCTTATTGTCTTTTGCACTTATTTACATTTCGCTAAATTTTATAGAAGAAAAATATGAAATGTACAGAAAAAATAAACTGCTACCAGTCAAGACTTTTGGTTTTCATAGCTGTTACATTGTATCAAAACAGCAGAAGGGAGGAGCTGGGATTTATCATTAGCACTTTTGAGGTTTAGAATTTGCAGTATTTACATATAAAAACAAGTTCCTGGTTTGTTTTTTTAAAAATGACGAGAAGCCACCCCCATCTTACAAAGGCTGTCTTTGCACTCAGCTGGCATAACCCAAACTATAGCATGGGACTCAAGCCCTAACTGTACATCCTGATAGCTCTTGCACAGTCAACACTCTGCGCAAGACACAGCTCCTCAGAGCGCCAAGCCAGCTCTTACCTGAGTGTCCACTGGAGGCTCGTCCGTGACTGGGTGACTGCTGTTGAGGTATTTGACTTTGTCCTTCTTGTCAATTTTGTAATAGCCTTCGCTGCGGGCACAGCCTGTCACATGGTCCCGCATCCCATCATCCCGCTTCTTCTTCTTGACATCTGGGACGCAGGTTGGTACAAGGGAATTAAGGCAAAAACCACACCTCAGAGAACCATGGGTAAAAGGAAAACCGTTCAGAAGAGATTAGGCAAAGCAACAAAATGACCAGATTACCGACATTCTGAATCAGAACATCACCTAAGAAAGTTACACAAATTCTATGTGTTGTGCGAAAAGGATTACTGTTGTACATCTAACAAGGATGCTTTTTGTCGCAACTTCACTGCAACAGCTCAGAAAACCTGGGGTACAGCCTGTTCACCTTTGCCCATTGCGGGCCTCAGAGGCAAAGGATATGAGGGTGATAAACCCAGAGGGTGTCGTTGAGCCAGTCCATGCCGTTGTCCTGCTGCAGCATTTTGTCGTAGGTGATCTGCAGGTGCCGGATGTCCTCCTCGTCGATGCCCTCGTTCCAGATGTTGTAGAGTATGGTCATCTCCTCAAACTCCGACCGGGGGTAGAAGGTGGGCCGGTGCGGGGAGGCAACAGGGGAGTGCATGGCCAGCAGCAGTTCCTCCTGCTTGCGCCTGTGCCGCCGGGGCTTCAGCACCTGCTCCTCCTGCTGGTCCAGAACGTCTTCCGGCAGCTTGTTTTCCAGCTCCTTAAGCGGCATCTTGTCCTGTGGTGCCACCTCTGTCTCTTCCCATTCTTCCCTGAAGTCCAGGGACACCGCAGAGGGATCCCTTACACCAGCAGCAGCAATAGCAGCAGCAGCAGAAGCTGCAACGGCATCCATTTCTCTCCCAAACAAATCCGTGACTGGCAAATCACGCGGCAGGGAAGGCAAGACTTCGGCAGCCACTTTGGGCTCTTGGTCCTCAAGGGACTGAGACAGTGCTGGAGATGTCTTTTTCGTCTTGGGTCGTCCTGGCTTCCTCTTGGGTGGGGTGACATCAGGAGGCAAAGTAAGATCCTCAGGTCTGCCAATGGGCTGCTCGTTTGGCACAATGGCTGTATTTAAGGGAGGTGTTGCCAAAGGAGGGCAAGCACCTGGCGAAGGCAGTTCAAAATCTTTAAGTGAGCCTGCAGGTAGGGGGCAGGGGAAGGCAGCAGGAGGGATCATGCTGTTCAGGGGTGAAGCAATAGTCGGCTCTTTGAACAGTAACCTGTCCTCCAAGCTGTCAGAAGAGGATTTCCCATGAAGCCCAGGTTGTGCTGCAGATGCAGCAATGGAAGGTTCAGGGAAAGTAGGGGTGAAAGTGAAATCCCTACCAGGAGTCCTTGGTATCCCACCGCTGGCACCAGGGGACTGGGAGGGGTAGGAGAAAGGGCTGCCAGGGATGTGCGGCGAACTCAGTGTCAGGCTATTCCCGGTCAGAGGTGCATCGCTGCCTGGTGTGTTTGGCACGGTATCTGTGCTCTGTGATTTTCCTAAACACTTGGCTGCCTTGCTCACAAAGTCCCTCCCGGGTGTCCTTGGTAATTCCTCCTCCATGGGCAGCTTGGGTGCAATTGGGAGCTCAGGCAAAGGCCCTGGGGGTAACAAGGGGGCCTGGGTTTCGATCTCAATAGTAGGAGGTGGACCTGAGCATAAAAGAGGAAGCTTGGTGACAGGCACCTCCACGTCCAACAGCGCTGCTGCCTCGCGGCCAGGGGTCCGAGGTAGACCCTCCTCATCTTCTACTGTGGGTGAGGAGAATTTGCTCTTGAGCCGTACATCCAGGTCGCTGTCAGCCAGAGAACCCGTAGGTGTGGGGGGTCGGAGGTTCCCGAAATCCTCAAGGGGTTCGGTCTTCAACACTTCTGGAACCTCTGTCTCCACTTCAATGTCAGGCTCTTCTGCTATTAAACAGATCAGAATGTCAACACCGCCAAGACAGAGGTCATTTTAAAATTAATCTTAATGTCATTCAGTTTCCAGTTAAATACTGTCAAGCAGCAGTTAAATTATAAACTACACTCCCCCAATTCTACACCGTCGCCTTCGAGAGCAAGTTACTTACATTCAATTACATTTAAAATCTGTCATATAAGGAGAAAATGTAATGCAAATGACAATTTACTGATACAGGTTTCAAACTGGTTTGTGCCCACAGCACCTGCACTGGTGAAAAGTATTTCCCATACCTGGCACTCCTTTGGGTGAGGGTGGCCTGAGATCAGGCTCCGATTCAGTTAGAGGTTCGTCTGCTGTAAATTCCTCATGGCGTGCTGCTCTCAAATCCTCCACCTCCTGGGAAACTCTGTCCTGGAGCTCGTCCCTCAGCCCCACCTCCTCCAGGCTCTTCCTCGCCTCCCCCAGCAGACACTGGTCCACGGCTTCCGAGAGGGGAGGAGCCAGGGGAGGTGTCGGAGGTTTAAGTCCTACCAGCTCCTCTGCCTCCGTCTCTTCCTCCTCCTGCTCCTCATCAGAGGAGGACACCCGAGTCTGTTCCTGGTCTTCCACTTCCTCTTCCTCCTCAGAGCTGGTCTCGTACTCTGAGGAGTCTTCACTTTCCTCTGATGATGAGGATGATGATGACGATGAAGATGATTCAGCTTTCGAGGAGGCTGTGCTGAAAACCTCTGAGAAGAAACCAAAAAGAAAATGAAATTCCTTTAATTCACCACTCAGAAAGGGGTCCTTGCATTTAGTTTCTACACAAATTCTGTGGCCATGTAAGATAAAAAATCTCTTGCCTTCATCTGAGAAGTCAGACTCTTCCTTCTCACTAGTGTCAGATTCAATTTCATCTTCCTCCTCCTCTTCCTCCTCCTCTTCCAACTCCTCGACATCCTGAAAAGACCACTGCAAATCAGCTTTTCCTGCACTGACGCTTCGCCTCATTCAAGAGCCATATCGAAAGAGCCAATGGAATGTGAAAAAAGAGCTTGGCTGAAAAGAGGCAAATTTCAAATGGCAGCACACAGAATTACATGAACAGTATTAGTCTGCATAACATTGTTAGTGTGCAATAAAAAAGTTCCCAATGCAAATACCATAGCATTTAAAAAAGGCTGTTAAATGGGTTACTACTGAATTGAAAGTCAAAGCTTTAAAAAAAATAAACAAACCACGAGCTGGACGAAAACGATCTTGGTAAATCCCATAGACACTACCTTGTCAGAAGAGAGCTTCTCAGAAGGTTCCGTTTCATCCTGCTCCTCTTTGTCTGAAGAGGACTCCTCTTCCTCCTTCCCAGATGTCTCCTCCTCCTCTTCCCCTTCGCTGTCTAACTCCAGAGGCCTGGAGTGGCGGCGTTTCACTTGCCCGACATCTCCATCCTTCTTGGACACATCTGAAGGCAGGTCCTCTGACTCTGAATACATTTCACACGCAGATCTCAGCAAGGGGTTGCAGAAAACATGGGAACACACATGCTGCTGTAAAAATGTTCCTTGCTTAAGGATGGGTGCAAAACATTTATTCCAGTTTTGGAATCGCTTATTATTTGCATCGTTAATAACCAAAAAATAGGGATGTGCCAATATTTGTAGCTTTGTGGCTACAATCCCTGTGCTGTTTGGGAAGAATGAGGGCCTGTGAATTAACCATTTCTCATTCTGCAAGTTCCACAGTGGCCTAAAGTAGTGTGGAATGCCAAATAGAGGAAAGACATGTCTCTCCGTGCTTGAAGGCTCCTGGCTCATTTTCCCAAGAGTCTCTGATACACCGAAGAACAAGAGAACCCTGGCTGATTAATGCACACCCTCACCTAGGGGTGCTCAATCACAGCCACCTGGGAGAAAGCCCAGTCGCTCGGCTCAATACTAGGCTCTTTATGACCAGGAATGGAACTAATTTAACAATTAAAAATGATCACACAAGGCAATTCAGTGTTTTCCAGTCCTCTTCTAGACAGTCCTCTTCAAAGTGGAATCAGTGATGTATAAAGACTAAATACCAACAGCACAGTGATACAATGCTTTCTATTACAAACAGTTGTCTAACTTTACTACTCTCCTTGAATACAAATGTAATTAACCTGTTGTGTAAAGACATTAAAATAAATTTGATCTTAGAAGGAGGAAACAATTTAATAAGACAGCAAACCTTCCATAGAGCAGTGACAGGAAGTCACGAGAGAGATGGCAAGGAATGCTGTCGACATTGATGCAGCTGGCATTGTGACAATGGGAACTGAAACCTTTCAAGAAAACGTCACTTGAGCTTCTTTTTGACTGTTTTGGCATTGAGCGATCTCAGTTTTGATCTTACAATCTGTGCATACAGACCATGTCGCAACCTTGTGACGAAAACCCCTCACCTGGCTTCAGTCATACACTGACAACTTCACTGGGTTTTCAAGCTTTGAAAGATTTTAAATTCTACTTGTCTTGTACTAACCAAATGGACTGTATAACTAAAGGCGATTTCTGTAATTCACTAGATCTAGATCTTGAGCAACACTAAAGGACACCTTGCACTACTAAACAGTGTATGTGTGATGAACAAAGGAATTTATTTTATTAGGAAAACGTTTCTTATAAAGTCCAGGTGTTAAAAAGGTTACCTTTATACATACGTCAGTGCTTTGTTTTGAAATGTTACAGTTCATGTCTAACTGGGAAAGCTCTTATGCACAGTTGGACAATATGGGCTCTTTGACCTGCTGCCTCACCTTCATCCTCCAGCTCGTCGTCCACAGGTGTGGAGGGGCGCACTCTTTTGGGGTCCCCTGAGGAGGCGGGGTCAGGCGGCTCTTTCCTCTTCACCTGCACAGCAAGCGCACACAGCGGTCAGGCGGCGGGAAACACTCGACGCTCCCACACCCGCAGCAAGGCGGCGATTATTTCAAACCATTCTGCTCTGCGAGACGATATCTCACGATATAACCTTTATTCTGCTGCCTTTGGAAGACTTAAAAGGTTAGGTTTAACTACAGCACTGTGGCAAGACGTCGTAAGACACCGGGTGGAGTGAATACATCACACCAGACATGGTACCTGCCGGGCCGCACTACCCTACAGGCAGAGTGGGCACTGTGCCTAGGGCCTACGGACGATCCGACCAGGTGTTTCATCGAAACAGTAAGAAAGACCCCCTTCTTGAATAAATATATATAGCAAGAATAGGCTATCTGAAAAACAATATTCATGATAATTGTGATCACCCATCTCCTCAAAGAAATCACCCATGAATATGCCTCCACCAAAGGGCCACAACCTTAATCTAGCCCTGGGTATATATCTACAGATTGTAAAGACGTTGAGTAACGGAAATCAACACTGAGGCCTAAAAAACTCCACGGCTGTGCTGTGAGCTGGCTGTGGTAGAGTGCCCGGGTAGGCCTTACCTTGAAGGAAGGCAGTCGGATGGCGCCACGTAGCCCGATTCCCAGCCCAATGCCCTCATAGCCGAGCCCCTCGCCCTTGTTCCAGTTTTCCAGGAGGCTGGACGTGATGGGCTCTTTGGGCTTGGGCTTTTCCTTCTCCTCCTCCTTCCCGTCGGCCGACTTGACCGGGGTGAGCGAGGCCTGCGAGCGGGGACAGACAGGTTAGCTCACACAGGCGGGCGCACGGCACAGCCCCCAGCAGTTACAGCGCAATCCCCCCCCACGCAGCAGACAGTGCATAAATACAGGTGAGCAATCCTATAATTTATTATACATAAATATAATATGATACATAACAGAATTTCTAGACTTCAGTTGTCCACTATGGGTCAAAGATTTCACAAAGACTTTCCTAAAAACTCCTGCTTCTAAAACAAATATTTGTATGTGTGGGGTGGTGGTTTAAGTCACAATTCAATAAAGTGTGGGATTGTTAAATGCCCTCAAGATTAAAACTTTAGAAAATGCACTATTTGCTTGCAGTACTTTCCTTCTGCTGCAGTTAAAGGATATTTTTTTCCCTTAACGTTTATTTTGTAGTAAAGCAAAAGATAAGGATAAGATAAGAATCCAGGCCCTAATTTCATTCATGTGGAGCTATTTGTGAATGTACTTTGCTTTCCAGTGTATACAGTGCACACAAAGCAATTTCAGCATTTCTTACTTAAGTCAGTGAAAACACTACACGTTTTTTTACAGCTGATCAGTAACTGTTTTAAATGAGCGTCACCTTGGATAAAAACCATAAGCAAAATAAATTAATAATGACTAAAACAAGAATGCTGACCCACCAGGTTTCACACACACAAGCTCCAGGAAAAGACAAAATTATAAAAATACATCATCAGCCATCTCTGAACTGATAAGACGTTTGATCGTGGAAGGCGATCCTTCTGAACAGCAAGGCAAGCCAGAACAGATAAGCTTTATATCATAAGCAGATGGCATTAACCCAAAATGTGTTTGTTTTGATGTCAGGAGCTATGAAAATATACTCCATTAGCAAACTACAGATTCACAAGGTGTTCCATAACCACTAAAGTGTCTGCAAAATGAGGATCTAAACACTAACCTGACTCCGCAGACATCATGCATGTTATTATTAAATAGCTTTTGAAAGTCATCACGGTTTGAGGTTATTTTCTTTTAATACATTATGGCGATAACAAGTCTAGATAGTAATAGACTGCAACATGGAAGAAAAAGACCTGCACCTACACTGCTCTTGATGTCCAAATCCATCAGCCTCACAAACTAGCAGAAAAGGTTGAAATAAACAGGCAGTGTCAGAATGGCTGTTGAAAATGGGCTCTTATGTTTTCTCTTTTTGACTGAAAACCGAAAACAACCAATTATGTTTAAATATGTCATAATGTCAAAACATTCTGATGTATCCTAGCGACCTCAGCACATTTCTGTCTACTCAGGAGCTAAGAAGCCCTACTTCACATTCACATTCAGAACAACTTGGAAATGTTGAGTGAATTCATCCCATAACAATTATCTTTTGTTTCGAAAGGAATATGTAAGTTTGAGAATACACTTTATAAAATTACAGGATCTGATCAACAAACCCAACTGTAAATGCTTTAAATTTCACAAATGTACCTATTTCATCTTATACAAACCTGAGAATCTACTGAAGTCTTGAGTGACTTCAATCAATGCTTATCAAGACACATTCAAGTTTTATTTAAATATTCATGAAGGCCAATTTTCTATTGGATAACCTGGTTTCTGAACCAATTAAACCAACGTGGAGTAAGATTTATCCTGACCAGAAGTATAACAAATTGCACCAATAAAAACAATCACACAAAGAAATTCAGTGTTTTCCGGTTCCCTTGTAGGCAAGTCTATGTGGAATCAGTTATAGACGTAAAAACTGAATACCAACAGCACAGCAATACAATGCCTTCTGTTACAAGCCGTTTTCAATACTTACAGCACCTGCTGAACACAAATGTAATTAACCTACTTTGGAATGACATTAAAATAAATGATGAAACACTGGAACTGAGAAACTCTGAACAAGCCGAGAACAGCTTGAAAGCAGGCAGCCACATGATCTTAATTTCGGTCATAAAAAGTATTCAATATTTACTGCTACCGCTGAAAACCAATGTAATTAACCTATTTTGGAAAGACATTAAAAATGTTATCTTACAAGGATGAAACAAGTCAATAACTACGTTCCATAGTGCAGTCTCAGAAAGTCAAGGGCAGATTCCCTTGATGTCAACATCACTAATCTCTGCTAAGTGGTGGGTTG